TGAGGGAAGCAGAGCAGCACCTGGCTGCCTGCAGCTGCACCAGGAACAGCCTCACCAGAAGGTATGCACTGGCCAGGGCTGGAGCTGGGGCCAGGTGGGCAGGAACAGACAGGTGGGCCCAGGTGGGGGTTGGCCCCACATGGAGCACCATGGGGGTAGCTGGGCAAGCTGTGCTGCATGTGCCCCTTCCCCTTTCCTTCCATTACCCCCAGCTGGCTCCCAGGACCTACGACCCAGGCAACCTCCCCTGCCCCCCAGGCCCCATACAGTCCTCACAGGGCAGGGCATGCAGGGAGTGGATTACAGCTCAGCCTGGGCCCCAGCCCCAAGGTATCACCACCTCGCAATGCAGCCTCATGATCCCAGCCTCACACACCCATCCTGTTCCTGAAAACTGCTCCCTGTCTGCCCAAAGCCCCACAGGGAGTTTTGGTGAATTGCTGCATGGGGGGTGGGGGGGAAGTGTTACCCGGCCCAAGATAAATCATTAAAATTCCCTATGGGTCCCTTGGGCCCAAATAATTGCCATCCCCTGGACTAAAGGGGGGTTGGGGGTGGATTCCCCTTATTAGTCTCACTCCCCCAGCCCCCATGGGAGATGCCACTGCTGCAACAGCTACAGGGTTAAACTTTTCACAGCTGCCACTGAATTGTATACAGTATGACATTGTAAAAGCCTTAATTCTACAGTGGCTGTGAGACAGTTTTTTTTTTTTTTGTTTTTTTTTATTATAAAAGTATCAAAATCATCACAAAGCCAAGAACACCAGCTTCTTCACTTACAGGTCAGTACATCAAAAACCCCATTTTCCCTTGTTTCAACAATCTGAACAAAACGTCCCCATCGTCACATAAATCCCAAACAGATACTCGTTTACATCATTTTCTTCAAAAACAAAACACCAAACACATAAATATACAGTATATCAGTCCTTTTCGCCCTTCTTTTCCCCGCCTCCCTTCTACCCAAACAATTTTCTCCAATCGACATCTTTCCACTCCCCTTCCCCTTTCTTCCGATAGTATTCCAATTCTGCATACGCCAAATACACACATTCCCGCGAAGTAAAATATAACCCCTTTTTGCTGTGAGACAGTTATCTCAGTAGCTGTTGGCCTCCCAGCAGAGGAGAGGGAGGCTGATGAGGGGAATACTACCACTGGTCTGTATGGCTGGAGGTTACAGCCTTGGGGTGAGCCTGTGCCAAGGCTGGTCACTGCCACGTTCCACTGGTGGTCCCCACCCCCAACCCTGAGTCCATTCTGGCCTTTCACAACATAGCACCCACGGCTCATGACGTGATTGCCCAGCTCTGGTTAAGCTACTGCTAAATAGCGGTGCACAAATAGAGATTTTTGGGGCCGATACCGATAGCCAATTTTTAAGGAGGCATATCGGCCAATATCGATCCAATTTTTGATACAGCTGCATCCAGCTGGTAAGTTTGTTGTGGTGGAAGGGGAGCAGGAAGGGAAGGGGTGTGGGAGGCCAGATCAACGCTCCCCATGGTGAGGGAGGGAGTGGGGCTGGGGTAGGCGCTGCCCAGCTGGGGCAGGGCAGGCACAAGACAGAGTCACGGCTAATCCAGGGGGCATGGGGAGGGGGGCAGCTCCCGCTGCTGCACACACCTTATCTTGCTCCCACCACTTGTCCTGGAGGGCATGGAGGGGTGGGGGTGTGCCCTTGGATCTGCACAAGGCAGGCTGCAGCTGTGGGCTGAGGCTGGGATCTGCACTGTGCTTGGGGCAGGCAGCAGCGGTGCTGGGAGGGTTTTACAGGAGGGTGCTGCAGCTATCCCAAATTTCGCCATAGGCCCCCCACTCTCAGTGCTGCTGCCACCCACCCCAAGTGCAGCACCAGCCCCAGCCCACAGCTGCAGCCCACCCTGCTCCACCCCACACAGATCCAGGGGTACATGCCGCCCCACCCACCCTATGCCCTCCCGGACAAGTGGTGGGAGCAGTGGTGGGAGTCACCAGATGAGTGGTTGGGTGCTTGGCTCCATCCCACAGGAGTGGGAGCTGCCTCGCCTCTTCGCACCCCCGCCCACCCTGGACAAGACGCAACTCCAACCTGTGCCCACACCCCCCCCAGCTGGGCAGCACCTACCCCGGCTCCAGCCCCACTCCCTCCCTTACCATGGAAGGGCATTGATCTACCCCCTCCACCCGTTCCCTCCCCAGCTCCCCTTCCACCACAGACTTACCAGCTGTATTCAGCTCTCCACACTGCTGGGCTGTGCTCCTTGCTGCCTGTGTGCTGTGCTGTGGCTGCATGCACACACAGGAATTTATCGGCCAAATTATTGGCCACTTCAGGCTGATTTCCAGTATAGTCAATTTTCTTTATATCAGTGCTGATCAAATATTGGACCAATGTATCTGTGCACCTCTACTGCTAAAGTATCTATCTATTTTAATGCATTGTTTTATATAATTAGCATAGAGAAATATTAAAAAAAAACAAAAACAATTTTGATTCCAATCCTCCAAAATACTTATCTCTGTGGACCCTCAACAGTCTTAGTAACTTTATGGGTACTAAGTATAGTGCATGAAGTTAAGCAGGTATACTAGTAGGATCATGGAATGTCTCTTTTCCATGCTGTCTAGTGATTCTCAACCAGGATGCCATAGCACCCTGGGGCTCCTTGAGATCCTTCCAAGGATGATGTAGTGTGTCACACAATGTTAGCACTGTTAGGTGTGCAGACATGATTCACAAGATTAACATAATGGATTCCTCTGGGTTTAAAACATACTAACCTATTGCGGTCTTTCTAAGTTCTTTGCAACAGAAGAATTGTTATTATATTTTTCTGAAGTCAAAAAATGTGTGAGAAGAATTAAAAGCTGGCATTTTCAGAGGGGGTAACTTGAATCTAAAAAGACTGGGTATGTCTACACCTGCATTTATGCCAGCTTAAATTTACTGTGCAGTAAGTGGGAATAAGCCGGCATCTACACGTGCAGGTATTAAAGCACATTAACACTGTATGTGGACTGAGTTGGTACTAAAGTTAATCCCAAATCAGTCCACGCACACAATGTTACTGTGCAGTAAGACATCTACATGTGTATTACTGCACAGTAACTAATTGGGCGTAAATGTGATACCTGCATGATGCAGGTATCAAATTTACGCTCAAGTTGGCATAAATCGCCATACTTCCTGTGCAGTATGGGCATGCACGTGCAGACGTGCACCTGTACTGTGCAGTAATTTCAGTTACTGAGCAGTAAATGTGCATGTGTAGATGCACCACTGAGAACCACAGGTCTAATGAGGTATCAAAACTCTCTTTCAGGCAAGCCTGATATGAAGGATAGACAGTTCTCAAAACTGCTTGGAGAAAAGCATTTTTTGTGCTCTAATTATTGACTTTTAAATTCTATATTAAAGATGCTCCTTATTATAAGGACTGTGACATAAGATTTTAACAAAAAAAATTAGATAATTTTTTTCAATATTTTGTAATTCATAGAAAACTTTAAAATAAAATTTCACCTGCAGTATTGGAAACTCTAACATGTAGACCTGTCTTGAGCACATCTCAGTGGTCTAACTATGAAATGCTAAAGCCACGTCACATCTCCCTGGGCACTTGTACACAGCACATACATTTGTATAAATGTCAAAATGTGCATCAGTGCTGAGAAAATGGTGGTGGCGCACTTTTGAACTAAAACACTATGAAGGTGTTTTAGTTCAAAAGCACACAGCTGCCATTTTCCCAGCGCTGACACACAGTTCACTGTTTATATAAACGTATGTTACGCAGCGCTGGGCACATAAATGTGAAGGAGAGAGAAAAGTCCCTTGTGCACCCACAGCAGGAAGAAACCTACCTGCAATGCCTGAGCCAGCAGCAAGGGATTGGTAGCTGATGTGGGAGCCCTGCTTTATTAGCAGCTGCTCAGTCTGGATTGGACCTGCCTGCAGCTGCACCGGTATTTCTGGACCAGTGCCAAGGCAGGAAGAGTGACAGGACCGAGGGGGGAAGGAGACATGGATGCTGGAACATTGAATGCCACAGCCAGAACCCCAAGGGATGGAGAGAAGGCTGATTCCCAGCCCAGGAGCTTGGAGGGACTCCGATAGTCTGGGCCGCCGCAGCCGAGCCCACAGTAGCGCAAGAGCTGTTGGAGGGGCTGGTAGGAAACCATATTAGGAAACGAGCTGGCCAGAGAGCTGACAATGCCCCAGGTGAGGTCTTTTTATTTCAGTTATTTTTCTTTCATTTCGGCTGGGGGGGCGAGAAGAGAAGAGCCTATTAGGCTGGGTCCTGACCATCCAGAAAAGAAAAAAAAAGAGCAGCCAGCAATGACCCAAGCTGGAGGGACAGTGGGAAAGGATCCTCCTTGGCCTTTGGACAGAGCCAAGTTGGTAAGGGCTGTAGAGGGCCCATCTCATGTGGTGAGCTGACCCATGCTGCAACAGCACAGAGGAAGGACACTGAGGTGTCCAAGGCAGATAGAAAGGTACAACATGTAAAGGAGACCAACTGGAGATTTTCCTGTGTTCCTTTTTTTTATTATTGTTGCTTTTACTTGATAGGGCCGGGACTGAGAGAACAAGCCCCCTCCCCCCTTTCAGGACTGACTTATGTGGTTGTGGGACACTGCAGCCAGTGGTTCAAAGGCCTTGAGGCCAAAAGACTTACCTGAGTTCAGTTTTGTACCTTGTGTTGTCCCTCATTTCTCTTCATTTACCAAGCCTCAACAGAACAACCTTCTGGGGAGGTCAACTTGGCAAACATTTCCTTGGCTCCAGGCACAAGAAGACCACAGGCCTATAAGATCAAATGAAAGTAGAAGAATGCCCATACAAAATCAGGGCATAATGATGCATTAACATCTGGGTGGCGCTTGGATGGGGTGTAAGGGAGGTAAGAGCCCCAAAGAAGAAGCAGATCCCATACAGCCAGGCCAACATGCAGCAGGTTCAACCACCTCCTGCCAAACAGACCTTCAGCAACAAGACATGGCAGGTGAGAATTAGGCGACCTTTTGCTGAGTGATCAAACTGAGGGAATCCGCATCCTCACAGCCCAGTCTCATTGGGTGCAGGGCTGCAGGGGCCTGCAGCCTTATCTTGTACTGTGCCAACAGTCAGCTTGCGTGCAGAGCAGACTCAATCAATTAAGCCTGCTCTGACACGCCAGATCTCCAGTGTGTCAGAGCAGACAAATGTATGTGTATAAATGTCCCCTGAAAACTGAGTCACAGCAAAGGTTACAGCAGTACCTACATACCATTTAAAAAAAATACATTAATAATTTCATTAAGTTTGCTGGTCATGTGGAATAAGAAAGATATTAAATTCTCTATTCAACTTTATTTTTACTTGTAATTAGGATGTGAATAATATGAAAGTATTTCAGTATCAAAAAATAAATCAGAATGCCTTAATTTTGTATATAAAGATGCATCCTCCAAAGTGCAACATGGACTGAAAAAGTGTTTCACAGTGAAAATGGGTTTTCTTATCACAGCTAAAAGAAATACAAATTGCCACACAGAAAATAAGATATACTTCATAGTTTAAAGCAAAGATCCAAGTTGAAAACATCCATAAGAATCTGTGTGAAGTGTGGGAAACACCACCTTTCTTCCACAGAAACTGTGGAAAAAGCTACAAATTAAAAAGCTCAACAACAGCAACAACAAAATATATTTTAATTTATTTTTTAACATTTTTTAACAAATAAAAATACCGTTTCACTTTTTGGTTTGTTAAGCTGCATTTGTACTTTTTCAACCTGCTGGTCTGACTTCCTCATGCTCACTAAAACAATCCTTTCAAACGAGGCCGTGGTAAAGCAATGCCATGAATCAACCTTAACTCTATATTAGGAAGGGCCTGAGAATCCTGTCTTTGTTGTGTTTGGACCGGGACAAATCTGTGTTGTTGTTGTCTAGCGCCTGAAGGAGCAGGACGGCAAAGAGCAGCCAAGTCCAGAACACCTGCTCGATTCATGCTCCAGGAACTATTAGCATCCTCCTTGGGCTTTACAGATGGAGGGCTTGCCATCATCATGAATTTTTGGTCCAATATAAGATTCACCACATCTTTCCTGAACATTTTCCAGTTGTTTTGTTTTAGGAACTTCTGACAAAGCTCATCATCACTGAAAAGATCCAAAGATACTTAGCGGTGAAAGTCTGGCTCTACTGAAGTCAGGGGCAGAGCTCCCACTAACATTAGGGAAGCCAGTTTTTAGCCTTAATTTCTAATGGAATTAAGATGAAGTTGTATAAATTGAGGCCAACCACCTCAATTTTTGTTGAGTACCAGTTCACTGATTTATGGGTCAATTCTCTCCCCAGATGCATTCATTCACTTACCTGGGGTATGTGGTCTTTATTTTGTGTAATTTCATTATTGTCGTATCATCTGCTAACTCCTCAAACCTGTCCTTTTTCAACCGTATTATTTCAGCTCCTCGGCTAACCAAAACGAAGCATCGCTTATCTTGCATATATTCTGGTAAGAGATGCTGACTGATCCCCTGAGAGGAAAACAAAACAAAGAACACTATCTGCACATCATGAGTCTCTGTTGACTTCTATACACATGTATCTGAATGCTGCTGTTCTTTGCATTGAGAAATGCAGAATAAGAGTTAAGTGTGGTATATATGATTTAGAAGGTTACTTTAGAGCAGGGCTGTCCAACTTCTAAGTGGCTGGGGGCCACATGCCCACAGGTTGCACCAGGACTAGCCATGAATCCCTCAGGTCATACTACATACATACTGCTGTACCTCATAAGCCATTGTCCCTTCCCTGCCCCATGCTGCACTATGTGCCCTAATCTCCCCTGACTGTGCCACGCTATGCTGCCTTGTCCCTGGGGCAAGAGAAGGTAGTGAAAGCTGGAGGAGGAATAGGGACTCCAGAAACTCCAGCTGCTGTTGCAACCAAAGCAATGTAGGGGAGTGGTAGCTGTGCAGGAGTCCAGGGGCTGTCATCTGGACAACCCTGCTTTAGAATGTGTCACTGTGGAAACTCCTTGCTCTAACCGATACTTTATAGCAAGAGAGTTTATTACTTTAAAGTCCATACAAGCAAGACAGAATGGTTTCAGTTGCACAACCCTGCAGCAGCCAAGACACCTGTTCCCTAGAGGAAATCCATCATGAAGAAGGGCAATCAGTATTAGTACTGCCTGCACTCCTTTTTGATCTGTACCAGAGAGGGAGCACCTATAAAAGTTTGTAGTTGGACTCCCCATCAGAAATAATATTGAAGCAATACCCTAAATTAATGCATCTCTTTTTGCTTTTGTTTTGTACCCTCTATGGCTGTCTTAATGAATGGGATGCAGCAACCTAGAATTGTGACTAAACAAAAACTTCCATTAGGTTCTTGGGCATTATCCCTCACTCTACACTAAAAATACAATTTAATATGACAGGACCTATTTCACATTATCTTTTATATTAAATAATTATCCCATTGACTTGAGGTGGCTCGAATCAGCTTCTATGGCAGGGTAGGCAATTATTTTGGTTGGTAGGCCACTTAAGTTTTGGTGAGCTATTGAGGGATGCATACATAAAATCTTTCAGAATTTTACAAATTATAAATAAAAAAATTCATATACTAAAAATCAAATGTCTGTGACAACATATTTTAATCTTATTTCAAAAAATATTTGTGTCCTGATTTATGTTTTATTGAGTAGTGTATATAGAGGTGATTGCATAATAGCTCAAAATAAAATCTTACTCTTGTATATTATGCGGGCGAGAGGAGTGGGTGAGGATGTTTGTGTAGGGGGGAGGGTGTGGAGTGGATGGTTGTGTGGCAGACTAGGGGGAGGGCTACCCACATGCTAGGTCCCAGGAGCTGGCTGGGGGGGGGGGAGGGATCGGGGGAGGGCAGGGGGCAGCTCACTGGGCACTGTGGTGCAGGTGTGTTTTTTTCCCCCCTCATTTGGCCCATGGCTGCCCGGGCAGTGCTCTGCATGGGGCTGAGCCCCACCTGTTCCCTCCCAGGGCAGCCCATGCTCACACCTGCCCTACACCTGCTGATGGCACTGCCCTGGCCCTGGCCCTGGCCCTGGCCCCAGCCAGCATGCACAGCTTCCTGATGGAGCTGCTTTTCACTGCCACCATAGTTGCTTGGCTCCTCCTGCTCCTCCTCCTCCAGCTGCCCCACTCCAGATGTGGGGAAGCTGCAGTGAAGCAAAGGGAGCTGAGCAGTACCTGCCCAGGTGGCTGCACCAGCAGCTGGAGTAGCCTCAATGGGAAGTTGTGAATGCTGATTGGGGCCAGGACAGTGCTATCAGCAGGCATGGGCATGAGGCAGGTGTGGGTGGGAGCATGGCACAGGCTGCCTCAGGTGGGAGCGGGCAGGCACGGCCCCATGCGGAGTGCCATGAGGGCAGCTGTGGGCCAGATACAATCAATTGGTGGGCCAGATCCTACCCGCAAGCCATATTTTGCCCACCCCTGTTCTATGGCTATCAGCCTTGGATGCAGGGAGGGTTGTTTTGCGATCCACAGACTTGGAGACTATGTAATTCTTCTGAGAAAATGCTCCCTTCCCCAGGCACAGAATTTGCACAGAACAAAGCATTTAATGTCCTCTCCTCTGCAGAGGAACTCTCCATTATAAAACTGACCACTAAATACATGGGCCATAGGGTATGGAAAGCTAATTTGCATAAGTTCTCCATCTCAGAACACTCCGAGGTATGAAGATATGATGCCTCTTGGTTTTTCTGTGACGCTGAAGATTTGTTGCTTGCCATATAGAATTCAAGTTTGTTAAAGTAACCTTTCTCTCTAAATGTACGCACCAAGAATTCTCCCGCATGGACTTCATCCACTCTTGTATAAACTGCTGCAGCAAGAGCTGTGGGTAGTTCTCCATATGGTGTGAGAATGGTTAGCTTCTTTCGTATAAGCCCCAATACTTCATTCTGAACAACTTCTCTCTCACCTTCATCCCCAATGGGGCTGTTGTCAAATCTACAAACCCTTTAAAAATGTTAGAAATTTGAACCCATCTTTTCAGGCATTTATTGTGACACCATAACAAGCAATATAACTATTGTTTGTATCAAAGAAAATATTAGAAGTTCTTCACTTTTGCCATGTGTATTCAAACCTAATAGCCTCTTCTCTAACCCTCATTCTCCTTGATTTCTCTGTCACAAGTGGAAGTCCCCATCTCCTTTAGCACTTTTGGCCTCCTCTCCTATTTCTCCTTTTCCTGTCTGATCTCCCACAGGTTCTGAAGGCTCTTCTTCATCTAGGCCAGTGTTTCTCAACCCGTGGATCACAATCCAAAAGTGGGTTGGAAGAATTTTTGAAAGGGTTGCAAACAAACTTTTAAAAAGGATCAACACAATGGATTCTCCTTTAAAGGAATAAAATGTAGGAAACCATGGCTTTTCCCTTGCAGGCTGTCAGAGTTCCAGCCTGCAACAGGCTGCCTGGGGCCACCCATGCCCCACACACACCCCCTGCCCCACACACAGTGGGGCTAGAGCCTGGGGGCAGGGGCAGTGGGTCAGGAGTGAGAGGCACTGGGTCAGGACTGACCAATGTTTACAAATGGGTCCTGGCACAAAAAAGTTTGAGAACCACTGATCTAGACTCCCCCCTTGGTTGATACTCCTTCATGTACATAACTTTAACTAGGGGTGCGCTGATAAAGATTTTCTTGACTGATATTGATGGCCGATTATTAACCAGCCATATTGGCCGATATTGATCTGATAGCCAACTTACAGGAATGCGGCTGGGCAGCTTGGAGAGCAGCGTTCAGCCAATAAGTCTGTTGGGGGAAAGGGGTGGGGGTAGGGAAGGGGCCTTGGAGGAGGGGTGATGGAGGCTCCCAATGGTGAGAAGGGAGTGGGGCAGGGGCAGGCGCTGTCCACCCAGGGTGGTAAATGTGACCCTGGTGCCAGGACAGAGCATACCTAAAATTGAGCTTAATAGCTGCTTTCCTATACTCATCCCTGCCCCACACTCCTGTTGTCAGTATCATCACAACTATTCTTTCTTTCTCTTCTTCTCTCTTCTTAGCCCTACATATATATCTTATTAACTTTTTTTTGTATATATGTCCTTACATTACAATAAATAAAGGGGAGTTAACATCTTTCTGTAAAAGTTGCAATGTTGGGTCCAGATCTTATTTAATTTTACACCATTGCCATTCCATGGTTTTCAGTAGAATTGTTCCAGCAGAACTGGTAGAACTGGTCAAAAAATAAAAATCTAATTTTGTGATAAAACTTGAAATTTTCTTTTCTTTAATTTGGAAGCATAAAAAATGCACTGCTTTTACTGAAATGTCATTAAAATATTCTGATATTTTTATTGTAAACCTTAATTTTTGTTTCTGTATAAAAATAGTTTAATAATGTTTAGATAAAAATTCACAAATCACAAAAGGATTCCAAAAACAAAAAATGGGTACCACCATCAATTATTCACAAAGAAATTGCTTATGCCAAGGCTGGCTTTGAAAATACTTGAAAAGAATATAAAAATAATTACTATTTATCAGATAAGGCACAGACTTACTACCATAGTTTCTTTCATATAACACGCCCCAGAATATAATAAGCACCTTGTTTTTGAAAGGCAGAATAAAGGGAAAAAAAGATTTTCCCAGAGCTATGGCTGCCTAGAAGAGGGACAGGGCCTAATCTTCAGCTCACTCACCCTCCCTTTCCTGCTTCACTAATACTGAAACCCTACCTGCTGCTGAAGGCTGGTCTCCATGGGTGGATCTATGATTTTGAAAAGAACTAAAGAGTCTCCAAGGCTCTAAAATAGGAGAAAAGTCTGGGAATAGCTATCAGATAACAATACTGGCCTTAAAAAGATTAGCTTGAAGAGTGGAACATCAAGACCATTAAAAAGGAGAGAGAATTGTTAACATCTCTGGAGTGAAGAACAATGACACATTAAGACAATTAGGTGTATGCTATATGTGAAAAAACATAGTATATCTCAGAAATACTTTGTAAAAAATAAAGATGTATTTATATAAATACCATCCGTAAAATGAAAGCATGCAATAGTTACTCCTAATGTCCTAGATCAGCAAGGTATGAAGGAACCCTTATTTCATTCTACCTGTTTCTGTCATCTCTCTTTTGTTTCTCCAGCTTTCTGTTTATATTTTCATGTTTCCCATTTATAACATGGCTAGGTTTTTTAAAACATTCATCTCTGTGGTGCTTCAAAGGCAGGATATACAGAGATTTCAGATTACTCAGGTCTTGCACAGGAAAGGATTTCCACATAAAATCATTGAATTTTTTTCTTCCTGTGACACCTGCAAAGAAAGGAAGTTAAATCTCCTTTGTAAGTAGAGAGCTAAATTAGCCTACTAAAAGATCAGCCCTGTAAATGGATTCATCTACACAGACTTCTACACTTGACTTGAGCTCTGTAGAAGTCAAGGGGACATGGTGTGAGCATAAACATTTACATGGGCAGCCCCTTTGCAGGACTAATTAATCATACAAGCTAATTATTATTTTTAATGACTACTAGACCCTCTCATAAAGATAATTCTCAGACACTTAGTGGACAATTAAACCTGCATGAATTTTCCAGTATCCCAGGAATAAAACAAGGTGTGACTATAAAAAAAATCTCTTTCCTCAAAAAAACAGATTGGGGGAGAGAAGGCTGAGAAAAGAGGACTTTGACCATTTGTGTGGTGTACCCATGAGTTTCCCCACTGAGCACAGGACTGAGGTCAAGTTCAGCTTTGCATGCTTCTAGGGCTCAACTTTTTGTTCTGGGGTGTGGCAGGACCCCTTTGGTGCCTGCCACTTTTTAAGAGGCTTTTAAGAGCAGCCAGCAGGTTCGGTGTGGTTTAACAAGACAGTCACATGACTGCAAGAGGGCTCCTGGATTGGAGGATGGGGCTGGGCAGCCTCAGTATAAAACCAGGCCCTCAGAGCTAAGTGGGCAGTTGCTGTAGGGATGGCACTGGAGTAACATTGCCCAGCAGCGATCTGCTGCTCCCAGAACATCTAGAGGTCAAGGATAGGAACTATGGGGATGGAGGAGGTTCCTGGTCATGGGGAATGACCTAAAATTATACCCTGCTAGGGCTGGATGGTGTGGTAGGGCTGCCTGTGGCAGGATGGTCCCCAGGAAATGCCACATCAGTGCCTCCCTAGTGAAAAATGAGTATGGGGTACCATATAGCCTCAGCCCCCACAACCTGGTGGGTTACCCCGGAGATGGGACAGGCAAAGGGTTCAGACATGTCATTAGGCTTGAGATCTAAGGGGCATAAGGCCTAGAGCCCCAGTGAGGGGCCAGAGTAGTGGGCCCAGGGCATTGGCAACTCATAGGGGGTGCACATGGGTACACATGCACCCCGAGAGACATGCCACCAATGCTGCTGGTGGCACCTGCAGGCAGTAGCTGCTCGCCACCCCGCCGCCTCGCCATTGATGGCGTCTGTAGGCAGTCGCTGATTGTTGCTGGCCACCGCCAACACTGCTGGTGGTGTCTGTGGCTGGTCACTGACTGCTGGTTGGCGCTTGCCACCACCCCCACCCACCCACCGCTGACACCACTGCTGCCGCCTGTGGGAGCTCCCCACTCACCACCCCCATGCCCCCACCACCACTGCCGCTGCCTGCAGGCAGTCGCTGTGCCCCACCAGCCTCTGGGGGCATCATTCATGGCCCAGGGAGAGGGCAATGTGAGAAAGCAGTAGACTCAAGTAAGTAGGCTGTGTAGAGAAGGGTCCACATGGGTGGGCCTGAAGGACTGTGTGTGGGCCTTGTAGAGTAGGGTCTACATGGGTGGGCCTGAAGGAGTGTTCATAGGCTGGGCCCTAGAGATTGAGTGAGCTGTGTCTGGAGGGGCCCGAGAAGGCGGATGCATATGAGAGGGAGAGGGCTAGCTGCTCAAGAACCTAGCCAGGAAACCCTTGACTGGTCAATGCTGGGGCCAGGACCAGAACGGTCAAAGGGCAAGGATGCCTACTGCAAGGGACAGCCAGAGCCAGAGGCCTGGAGTTCCGACTGGCCTAGAGGCAGCACCAGGGCCTCCGAGGCCAAAGGTCCCAGAGGAGGCCACTGCCAAGAGGGAAAGGGGTCTAGGGAGTTTGCAACCCAGAATGAGGGTGGCTATTAGACTGTCTGAGGAGAAGGGATCCAGGTGGGGTCCAAACATCAGGTGGGCATAGAGCGAGGTCCATTGTGGGGTGAAGCCATTTAGTGATGCCATCTGCCAGGTACGGGACACGGTATAAGGGGAGGTTCAGAGCAGAGTATTATACCCTTGGCATCAGGCATTAAATGGGCAGCCTCCCACTTTATAAACAACTTCTCTGAGTTACATCAAAGGCATGGCAGGCAAGGCAGGTGGGCGGACTGCCCTAGACAGGTGGGCTGGCCAACAGTTAGATGGCCGCATGACAGGCCCCTGTCACACTGAGTTTTAACTGGCTTGTGTTACATACACCAGCTGGTGATGATTCCTTCTACCTTTAATCTATTAGGTTAAAAAAAATATATATATATATGTAGATGAGAAAACAACATGAAGTTCTGATTCACTAACTACCAAACAACAGAATGGTAGCATGAGAACTTCCCAGATTATATGTGGCTAGAGATCAATATACCATACCAGTCTCCATTGTGGAATGAGGATTGTATTTGGGAAGATCCATTTGCTGACAGATCCACTTGTGATAGGATGGGCAAGCAGTGAGATCAACCAGATGTAAAACTTCACATGTTCCCTAATAAAGAGCAAGGCATAAGGAAGTTTAACACTGGCACTACCTCTATTGTGGGGCATACCTTTGGACATGTCACTTCATCACCTGTAATACAGAGATGATATTTCTGCTGAAAATGTTTCAAGATCTCTGGATAAAAAATGCTATATCACAGGGGTCAGCAACATTTTTGGTCAGGGTGACAAAAACACCCACAACCTTGACCTGTAAGCAGTTGGCATGCCAGGAGCAGATGGTAGGGGAGCTACAAGGGGTCCAATCCTTGTGGCAGGGCAGCTCCAGCTCCTTCCCTGAGACGCGCATGCCAAGCAAAATGCCTTTGTGAGCCACAATCTGGCATGTGTGCTGTGGGTTGCCTACTCCTGCTGTAGCAAATGGTATGTAGCATTACATTCACAGTTTATTAATTTTCAGTAATTATATTATTGTACTACCTGTACTGTAAGTTATCTAGGCAAGAGTAACAAATCTGTTCTAAGCCAATGAGGAATCAGTCCTACAACTCTGAGTCAAATGTATAATTTCATTGGAGAAAGAGAGGTGACTTTTGTGAATAGAGTACTTGCTTGCAAAAGATTTGTAAAATTGTGAGTTTTTCCATCCACCTGGGTAGGCTTTCAATAGATCCTTTATACCAGAGTTTCTCAACCAGGGTGCTGCGAGATCCTTTTAAAGGTCGCACAGAATATCACTCGTTAGAAGCACTATGGTATGCTAAAGCTTACACATGATTCACTACCTAGACCCAGAGATTTCAAAAAGGGATCCATTCAAATAGAAAAATATTCTGACCTGTTGTGGCCTGAGTTCTCTACAACAGAAGTGTAGGCTGTAGACATGGTCAGTGACTGACAGACCACACCGACTAGTGTAGACTACAGCCCTAGCAAAAGCCCAAGTTATGAATGACACATACTTAAACTGGTATACACTCAACAATCAATAAGCTTGGATTCAAATCACAATAGCCTGCGAAAGTAAAATAAGAATCTGTTTATTAAGCCTTTAATATTAGACTAACCCAAAAATGAATAACTGCATTTTGAAAAGGTGTGTAACAATAGCTAGAAGTAACAACCAATGTTTTGTTTCATTAACTTGTTGTACACTATAATTAGTCTACTCAGCAAAGCAGAAGAAACAAAACATGGCAAGCAGCATTCCCAGATTGTAAGGGAAAGACAAAAAGTCTTCCCTCCCATAACTCTACTCTTTTCAAGACCAGAAGATCCCAGCTAACTGGCATCATCCAAGTCAACAGGAAAACTAGTTCAGTACAGGCCAAAGTTTCAGTTAAACAAATTGGAATAATGCCAATCAGAATATTTATTTAGGTAACCCACATAAAAATATTGGGTGGAAAAAGGGAATCTTTGGGAAGACCTCTGCAAAGTCAAAACAACCTTTTGCCAGCCTGCATGCCAGCTCCTTCCTCTTGAGTCTCCCCCAGCCAGTATAGATAAAAATCTGTATTGTGCTGTTGCAGGTAGCTAAATAGGCATAGAAACAAGGGTTTATGCTTATGGTTTGAGTTATAATGAATAAAAAGTTGGGTTCTAGACCTGTCTCGACTCTTTGTATGACTTGGGTGGTAGCAATGCTTTACCTGCTAAAAGGAAACAAAAAATCATTGAAAAATGTGACTGTATCTTAAGTTGGTTTACAAAAGGAGTAATCAGTAAGAAAATTGTAACTACTCCTGAATTCTGAGTCTAAGCTTGCAAAAAAGTCCTAATCATAGCCATGCTGTAGTCTTGTCTCTGGAAAGACCATTTATCTCATTTTTGTTAACAAATTTTGTTACTTCATTTTTGGTAACAGAAGAATTGCTCAATATTTTTTCTGTAGTCAAGAAATGAGTGAAAGCGAATAGCTGGCATTTTCCAAGGGGTGCTTTTCAGTCTAACAAGCAATATCCTGAATCTAAAAAAGACTGAGAACCACTGCTTCATACCATAAATGCTAAGCAACGAAAAAGTGAATTGGGACAGTTGGGTCTTAGAAAGTCCTCTCAGCATATTTAACATATAATTTTTTGTTGCCAGATAACAACCCTGAAAATAAACCATTAATTCAAACCTCAACCATCTCAAAAGAGTTCATTTATGTAAAGACTACAATTATACCAATTATTCTGTCTTGTTTTGGATTTCCACAGGATGACTGAGCAAAAAATATCACTGCTATATCATTATGCTCTGTTTAATTTTGTTGGCATCTTTTTGAGTTGGTGTCTCAGTTAGTGCAATACTGTTGTTATATATTTTAGCAAATCCAAAAGAAAGCTAGGCACCTCTCAGAAATATGTTATTGACTCAAATCTGTGGTCTAATGAGCTTCCTACAAACTTTTATATGCGACTCAACAAAGGTCAAAATGACAAGAACAGAAAAGTAAATAGGAAAAGACAAGGGTTAGAATAAACTGATTGCATTGCTTCTTCATACCTTCAGGTTTTCAGTACCTTTGGTAAGATGGCAGAAATTATTTAATTTAAATTAAAATTCCACAAAACCTTTTTTTTAAGTTTTGCCTGTAGTACTATGCACACAGACACATCATCCCAGCGTAACCCATCTAGACATCTAGATAACCATAAGAGTAATGAAAGTTTGTGGAGTATGTAGGGAGACTGTAAGCAAATATAATGTCTGTCTGCTTTCTTAAGAAGCAAGGGTGCTCTTTAAAATTAAATAAGTTTCTGACTGCCTACCTAGCTCAGATATTTCTACTGTAGCCAATATTCTAATAGCAAGTTGTTAACTATTTTAGTGCAAACAAATGGTCCCATGAAAGCAATAAGAATGAATCCAAAGGAAAGGGACAAGACCAGAAATAAGGAAGAAATTTGTGGTAGCAGAGTTGTTTTTTCCCCATAATACCTCCTGATAACTACTGTTAACATTTGTTTAGCACTGAAAATGAACTAGGTGCCTTACAGAGCATATCAGGGATATACTTCTTGCCCTGAAGAGATTATGAGTTAAATTCTGATTGCTGTATTCATGTTGTCTAGTAATTGGCTCAGCACAAAAGCAAAGCCCTTATGCAAAGACAAGACAAAAGCAACAGAAAAAAGAAACAGCAAGGGAGTCTGTTTGAAGAAGCTGTTCATTTCTCTGTTGTGTCTGTTATAAGCTATGGTAAGTATTTTTTTTCTGCTGGCCTGAGATGAACATTAGGTCTTTCAGCACTGGAATAATCTCTGAGGGATCATACCTTTGTAATGAATATTATGCTGGTTGACTCCACAATGTCCCTAACAATCACTTGTCCAGAATGAAACTTCTCTGCTCTGCAGTGATTAGCTATTTTCTCTATTGAGTACTCAGGCCATGTTCGAAAGACATCTAAACCTCTGAAAAGGAAATATATGCAGATAATTTTTTTATATGACCACTGTATCCTATCAAGAGAACTACTTTCACCAAGGAAAATGTGTTCTTTTTGCTGTTGTAACTGATAGGAGAAAGAAGCCTTAGTGGCTTTGGTTTACTGGCTTAGACTTTAGCTTTACTGGCTTAAGTCTTGGTTCTGCAAGTTACATTATGCAGACAGACTCCTGAACATGCTTGAAACCTCAGTAAATTAACTAGGGCCCCATCTACACATTATACTTAAGGCATGGTTAACCAATTGTGACCCAGCTACATAGTCAATTAATTAATGGTGTGATAAAACAAGGAATAAGCTACAAACTTATGCCACAAAAAAGGGGTCAGTGCTTAGAACCCATGTGGATCACTCACCCCACTGTGAGCCTCATCAGCTGACAGGGCTCACAGTGGGGGCAGTGCATTGAATGCTGGTCCTGCTGCAAGCCCCACCAGTTGATGAGGCTTGCAATAGTGGCAGTGCATGGAATGCTGCCCCCACTGTGAGCCCAAAAGCTGTGGGCCTTGCAGCAGTGGAAACCAGTGCAGGGGAAGACCAGGATCATGATCCTGGGCTTTGCCTACACTGGCAATAAGGCGTGACTGGATCTGATACTCAGTCCCACAATCAGACCTCCTGCTATTCACAAGTAGCACAGCAGGAGGTGTGACTGTGTGGATTGTCCATCAGATTCTATCACCTAAACACCTGCAGGAGCCCTAGGATTGAGATCCTTAAAAGTGATATCCTTTTAAGGGGGCCAGAGGGTGCCACACAATATTAGCACTGTTAGATATGCAAACATCTACACAGAATTCACAAGATAAACCCAGATATTTCAAATAAGAATTCATAGTGTCAAAAACTTTCTAGCCTGTTATAGTCTTTGTGAACAATTTGCAACAGAAGAACCGTTCTTTTATTTTTCCACAATCCAAAATGAGTGAAAGCTAAGAGCTGACATTTTCCAAAGGGTGCCTTGAATCTAATGAGAGTTGTCTTGAGTCTAAAAAGATTGAGAACCATTGCCTTAGAGCATTCTAAAATTGTATATAGAGTGGATGTCAGGAGGATTATGTACATTAGAAAAGAATAAAAGCAAACTCATCCTTACATTCATAAAAACCTACAGACTTATTGTTCTATGACAACATTCACTGTAATTCTCAAGTGTTTTTTTCCCCATTTCTTTCTAGGTATGATGAAAAACTTGCATGTTACAATATTTCTCCCTACCACTATTATTATGAGTTGGGTGTAGTCACTACCATTTTTAGATATCCATAAGAAGCCATTAAAATCTTTTATACACCCAAGCCACACCCAAAATACTTGACATTAGGGGTGTGCAAAACACGCCATATTCGATTCAGATTCAGCCCAAACTGGGGACAGTGATTCGATTCGTTGATTCGGATCACTGTCCTGATTTGATTCGGCCGAATCTGAATCTGGAGATTTGATGCCAATTCAGAGAATTAGTGATTCGGCCATAGACAACTTTAAATGTTTTTTCTGCATACCTTGAGGTACCAGGCGTGGCTTGTGAATGCTGTGATGGTGGGGCAGGTGGAGTGTTCCACTGGATCCCCCCTGCTCCCACCCAGCTTGGCAATCGGCCGCGGGGGGATCCTGGATGCCCCCCTAGATCCAGGAGGCACCAGTCACTGAGTTGGGGGGCGAGAGGGGTCTTCCGCGTGCTCTGCAGCAGACCTGGAAGTTGACCAAAAGTGCTTCTAGTCCACTTCCGGATCCGCCACTGAGTGCGCTGGGGACTGCCCCCCCATGCTTCCATGGGTCGCTCCATCCGCTCCTGAGGTATGCAGAAAAAACATTTAAAGCTGTGTCTATGTCTGAATCATCAAACAGATTCAAAGGGTCTCCTGATTCAATTCAGATTCGGTCACTGAATCAAGTCGAATCTCTGCCAAATCGAATCAGCGACTGAAGCTTCGTATAGCCCCAATGACAGTCTCACAAAACAAAGGCACATGGTAAAGCACACTTTATTCTTCCCGTGTTCACATATAAAGGATTTATTAGTGTCAATTTCTCTTCCTAATGAAAACACCCCACAGTGCCTACATTTTTTATGACACTTGGGGCAAAAAGGGGAGAGACTATACAGTACCATGTCAGATTAAATTGTAGAAGTGTTAACACCTACAGAAAGTATGTATTAAACCTGCATCACCTTAAAAGGGGTATGATATTTCATCTTCAGTGAAAGCAGGACAATACTGCATGTAACAATATACCTTACCATCTAGGCACTTAGTGGTGAACCTAGAATAAAAATACTGTACTTGAACAGTCAAATCATTAAGCAAGTAAAACAAAATGCAGTGGCAGAGCCAGAAACAAGTTATCTCATTGAAAGTAATTACTTGAAAAAGGTGTAACGATACTGTAATTCTTTCTGAAGCTCTTCATCTAGTTTATTAGCAAAGAAGTCTTCTTTATCTACCACCAGCAGTTCAGTTTCTTCCATGCAGACAACCGTAGCAACTCTCCTTGTTCCTTTTAAAAGAGCAATCTCCTTTCATACAGAGAAGGAAGATGAACTGAGTTAGTATTAGCAATTGATCTTCCACTGTTAGACTTCAAATCTTCCAAGTTGAATTGGCATTTGGAGTGTATCTTATTTTGTATCCTGTCACCAATGGTAGCAAACACTAGACCTTCAGAAGAAGGTATAAGAAACTCTATAAAGGGCAGTTGAAAGATACCTTGTCTTCAGTGAAAATTTCTCCCTATTCCTCCATAGTTTAAATATCATAAGCCCAGAAACTTGAGGATTTATACACCTTCCAAAATGCTCAACTATTTATTTTGCCATTTAATAACTTTTCCTATGTCTCAACTGATGGGAGTTATACTAAAAACACCACTTACTCCAAATGCAGCACCCTTCCGAAGCAAAGTTGGATCTCCATCCAGAAAGGCACTGTTACCATCCTCATCCTCAGTAACAGCAACAGTACCAAAATAGATGAAGTAAAAAGTGTTTCCATAGTGCCCCTTCTTGATGATAACTCTTCTGCGTCCAAACCTGGAAAACAGGAATGCAGCTTCTATTCCCTCCTAGCAGTAATGAGCCTGAACTAGAACCTCTTCTAATCAGACTCCCTATCCATTACTAATTATTGATCTCAGATCTCTCTAAAACATGCTGAACTGCACTGAACTGAAGCACCAAATCGGGGTGCTCCCAGAAATGTGTGAAAGGTCAGTTTGGAACTTCAGAACACTATTCTCTATCCACAGAATGGTATTGACTGAAAAGTATTTTGCTTGAGCATAAACAATCAGGGATATACTTATTTGTCTTGGTCAAAAAGAGATTGCTCAAAAAGCTATTGGCATTTACTTCTGAGACTTGTGTTTTTGAGACTTGCGTTTTGTTCTCATTTCCAGTTATTTACTTGGCAAGGACAGACGGCAGCCTTGCAGAACTAGCAGATTCAGAATCTAAGGAGTGTCTCAGCTTATTCAACAGTAATAACTGCCAGCAAAGTAGAGTCAAAATTAGTTCATATATGGTCTTGCTAGGCTGGGATATGTGACTGGGAGAGAGGAGATAATACTGAAGTGGGAAAAATGGAATGATTTCTAGAGCTGAGAGAGAAAAACACACCTCCACCTCCAGACCTTTAATAGAAACAAAATGTCATGTGATCTTGTATTTCAGTCAAGCAATTAAATAAAGCCACCAGTAAAGTAAAGTCTAAGACATTAGAAGAAAACTTAGTATCTTACAATGAAACAAGGATGATAGGTGAAGATGAAAAGTGAAAGATGCACCACTGATATAATGGTGGGGATTTATTATAAGCCACCAAAATCAGGAAGAGAAGGTAAATGAGGCACTCTTTAAGCAGGTGACAAATCTATCCAAAAGCTATGGGATGGTACTGATAGGAAACTTCAATTTTCTGTACATCTGCTAGAAGAACAATGCAGCCACGGCCATCCCTAGGGGGGGACAAATTGGGGCGACTGCCCTGGGCCCCATGCTTTGGGGGCACCACGGAGCCGAGCGAAGAGGCACAGCGACTCCGTGCCACCGCCGGCTTCACATCCGGCTGCTCGGCATGCCCCCCACTTCCCTTGCTGCCAAATCTGCTGCTGAATCCAGCGCATCCGGCCGCTTGCCACCCCGCTCTGCTCCCACTGCCTAATCCACCGCCGGCTTCCTCACATCCAGGGGCAGGGCCCTGCACAGGTTGATTTGCTTCAGGCCCTGCACCCTGCTCGGATCATCTCTGAATGCAGCCAAACATAAAATGTCAAGCCAGGTCCTAAATTGTGTGGAGGACAACTTCCTGCTTCAGAATGTGGAGGATTACAACTAGGGTATCATCTAGGGGATCCTGTCCTAACCAAAAGGGAAGAACTGGTGGAGGGTGTTAAGGTGATGGCCAACTTGGGAGAAAGTGATCACAATATGATAGAATTCCAGATCCTGAGATAGGGAAAGCATGAGGTCAGCAAAATTAGGAAGTTAGATTTCAAAAGGGCAGATTTCATCCGACTCAAGGAGTTAATAAGCACGGTGCCATGGGTAGATAGACTGAAGGATAAAGGCAGGAGAGCTGGGAGCTTCTAATGGGCACAGTATTGGAAGCCCAACAAGAAACTGTCCCCACACAATGAAAGCACAAGAAGAACAGCAGGAGACCAATGTGGCTGTACAAGGAGATTTTAGGATGCCACAAATGCAAAAGGAAAGCATACAGGCAATGGAAGAAAGGGCAGATCACCAAGGAAGCATACCAGGAAATAGCAAGAACCTTCAGGGACAGAATCAGGAAGGCAAAGATAAAAACTGAGCTGCACTTGGCAAAGGCGGTTAAGGACAACAAGAAGAGATTCTGTAGTATGTTGGCCAGAAAAGAAGGACCAAGGAAGCTGTGAGTCCTTTGTTAACAAGCCAGGGGAACTCCTAGCAGAAGAGGCTAAGAAGGTGGAGCTATTCAACAACTATGTTGCCTCAGTCTTCATAAAAAAATTAAGCTGAGGCCAGAAACCTAATAAGGGTTATCTGGATAAGGGAGGGAGCAAGTTGAGGGAGGAGATAACAAAAGAGATGGTCAAAGAGCTTGTGATAGCTCTGAATGAATTCAAGGCAGCAGGACTTGATGCCAGGGTACTGAAGGAACCGGCACAGGAAATCTTGGAATCCTTGGCAATGATCTTCATGAAGTCATGGGAGACAGTCCAGGTGCCAGAGGACTAGAAAAGGGCCAACATAGAGCCCTTTAAAAAAAAGCAAAAAGGAGGAGCTGGGGAACTACAGACTGGTTAGCCTCACCTTAATATGAGGCAAGTTACCAGAGCATATCATAAGGACGGACATTTGCAAACATCTTAAGGAGAAAAGGCTGATCACAAACAGCCAGCATGGATCTATGAAAAAACAAATCATATCAAACAAACTTGATCTCCTTCTTTGACAAAGTAACTACTTGGGTGGATGAAGGGAATACTGTGGATAGAATATATCTGGACTTCAGCAAGGCTTTTGACAAAGTCACCCACAAGCTTCTCATTAACAAATTGGAGAAATGTGGGGTAGACAAAACTGCTACAAGGTGGATAGATAACTGGCTCAATAGCTGCAAGCAAAGGGTAATTATTAACAGGTCCATGTCAGAATGGCAGAAGGTTTTGACCAGGGGTCTGTCCTGGGCCCAGTGCTGTTCAATGTGTTTATTAACAATTTGGATGTTGGCATATAAAGCTTCTTGAGCAAGTTTGCAGATGACATGAAACTGGGAAGGATTGTGAACACATTGGAGGATGCGAGTGCAATTCAGAAGGATCCCAACAAATTGGACAGCTGGGCTAGAGCTAACAGGATGATGTTCAATATGGACAAATGCAAGGTGCTACACCTTGGGAAGAATAATCAAAAACACAAATGAAAAAATGAGTCACACCTGGTTGCACAGCAGCACTATGGAAAATAAGTCTTGGTAGAATACAGACTCAATCTAAGTTTGCAGTGTGATGCAGCTGCACAAATGGAAAATGTGGTTTTGGAATGCATCAATAGAAGCATAAGGTGCAAGACATGGGAGGTGATAGTGCCTTTCTACTTGGCACTGGTTAGGTCTCATCTGAAGTAGTGTGCGCAGTTCTAGGCTACACATTTTTTAAAAGATGTGGAGAAACTAGAGAGAGTCCAGAGGCGGGCAACAGAGATGATAAAGGGCTTAGAAAGCAAATCATACAAGGAGAGGCCGAAAGAGTTAGGTATGTTCAGCTTATGAAAAAGGTGCTTAAGAGGGGACATGATAGCAGTCTTTAAATACCTGAAAGGCTGACATAAATCACCTTTTCTTTCTTGCTGCAGAGAGGAGGAAATGGATCAATGGCTTGAAGTTGCAGCAAAGTAAGTTTAGATTGGATATCAGGGAACACTTCTTCATGGTTAGAATAGTAAGGCAGTGGAACAGACTACCTAGGGAAGTTGTGGACTCAGAGGTTAGACTGGGGAAGATCCAGGCATTATTATACTTGTGTTCTACTATGGGTATTTCCCATGCTTCTAGGCTTTGCTGGTTACCCCACCCACTCTTTCTGCTACCTGTGTCAGAGTGTTTTTTAAGTCTCCCTCAAAAGGCTTTGGGTGTTGACTACAGCCAAGGCTGGGGATTTTGACTGAGGTATGCCAGTGCTAATGCTGGGACCAAACCCAGAGGTTCCTGTCTGGATGATCTTGCCCTTCTGCTTAGGGTCCTGTACAGTGTTGGGTCCTGTACTTCAAGAAAGATTTGGCCTATTGGAAAGAGTTCAGAGGAAAGCAACAATGATTACAAGTTTAGAAAACATGATGTCAGATGGTAGGTTGGAAGAACTGGATTTATTTAGTTTGGAGAAGATAAGATTCTTCTGTTTTTTAAACAGCCGTCCTATATAAAAAAAAAAGATCTTATAAAGAGATTGTTATAATGATCGACTATTCTTCAGGCCTACAGGGACTAGGACAAGTAATACTGGGCTTTAATTTCAACGCAGGACATGTAGGTTAGAATTTTCTAACCATGAGTGTGGTTAAGTAGGGGAACAGATTACCCTAGAATGGGTTGGCAATGTTTTGCTTCCCTACTGCAGGACACAAATCTCTGTTCCTTAGAGAGCTGCCTGCACTTTCCCCTCACTGAAGATACTTGGCACTTCTTCAGCAAGAGTAATTGTAGGCAGGAGATAGCCTAAGGGTGGGCTTTGGAGGAGAGTGCTGTTATGAGGAATGATGACTCAGCACAACTCTGTGCCACCTAATTCCTTGTGCTACCACAGACCAGCTCAGACCTTCCTGGATATAAACTCTTTGTGAGCCAGATTCAGCCCCGAAGCCATAGGTTGCCAACCCCTGACCTAGAAAGTTTGTGGACTCTCCATCATTATATGCTTTTAAGTGAAAGTTGAAGAAATAATGGGATACTTTAGAGAGGGATGTTCCAGCCTTGAGCAGAAGATTGAACTAAATGAACTGCTGATGTCCCTTTCAGAGCTATTTTTCTATGGTTCTATAACTAGATTTATACCCAATGTAAACTCCTAATATGATTTTTTTAGTTGAGATTTCAAGTCTCCAAGGAGACTTTGATACCTAATTCTTATTAATTTTAATGGAAATTGAATATCTAAATCCTTCAGTCTGTTTGAAAAATGTCAAGCTTTGGGATGGCTCTAGGTTTTAAGAGACATAACAGTATGTCATTATACATACAGAACAAATTAGATGACTACATGTTCTTGCTGTCATATATCACACTCATAAGATGCCTAATAGACTGAAAATAAATGGAGAGATAAAGATGTAGTTTTTTCTAAATTCAGGCTAAGATTCATATAATTTTTAATTTTGGAATACTGAATTCTAAAAGTCAGCTTTAAAAATTACTACCCATCCTTGAAAGAATATTTACCGTTCAAAGCGAATCACCTTAGCCAGAAGATGCTGTAGATTTGGGCTATAATTTCGGTAGCTTTCTAGCAACTGCAAGCAGTTTTGTAACAGCTTAATTTCCTTCTCAGTCCTCCATTCTGGTTTCTTCTTGGTTATCTGGATTGCTCTGAGAGGAAGGTGATCCTGAGAAAGCATCCAACACATTAACTAATGGAGCCTCACATGAAACAAAGCCAAAAAGGAAACACCTGCATGCTCCAGAAGACTAATCAGCATCATCTTCCAGAGATGTAATGGAAACAATTCCAAACAGTTTTTTTTCCCTCTTTCATTTTAGCCTCAAGGAAAGGAATTTGTGCAAAATGGTTAAAACTTAAGTTTGTTTGATAATGCCCACATTAGTTCATTTTTTAAAAGAATCCTGAAATAAAACATTGGGTGCTCAGTTTTATGCCAGTGGATCTATTATTAGGCAAGTTTGCTGCTAATAAGATGAGTCATTATTGAGCAGGTTTTCAATGTCAAAATGGCACAAAAGCTTTCTTTTGAAAAAGTTAAGTAAAATTAAGTTTAAAAAAAAAGCTTTCTAAAAAATGTCAAATGCATTGAGTGTTACTTATGCCCAGTGAAGAAGGCCTACCTTTCCATAATGGAGTCTCTAATACTTCAACTGCTTATTCCCATGACTCCAGCTCCCCCTACATATGCACCGTAGAGTCTGCAGACTCCATGCTTAATATTGTCACTGTTGTAATCTCTAGGTTCATGTAGCCTGAGAACACTGTAGGCCAAGTTTTCAGAAAGGGCCCGACACCAGCCTAATGATGAAAAGCAGAGTTCCACACACCATTCCTGAAACAGTGAAAGAACAGCATGTGGAGCAAGCCAGAGCAAGGAACTTGAGAAGCTGGCATCCTCCTTGGTAGCATGCACTAGATTAAGATATTTCTTCAGTGCTATGCAAGAGAAGACCTGCAACACAATGTCAAAACTTGTCTACAGCTTGTACAGGGCCCACAGTGAGGAAGGTAAAATCCTTTGTTTTCCTTTCACAGTGCTTTGCAAAGAATCCAATTTCTCTGAAGTTTTTTCAGTACTTGGGACTTGGCCATCCATGCTCAGAAACCAGTTATCAGCACCAGTGTTTGCATTAATTGAATCACCCTCCTTTTTCCATGTAGGTGCTTTAGGCCAAACAAAAAAAGTCTGTGTATATGAAATCTTCTTGGAAGAAAATATATGATTAAAAAGTTTGTAGTTCTGTCACGTGTCTTAATTTATAGATTAAACAGAGGAAAAGGGAAGTGCTCTCATGTGAAATAAGTGACAAAGCAAGGGATCTGGAATGAGTTATACAGTGGTTTTGTTGGCATCCCCAGTTCCAACTCCTGCCTTGGAGACTGCCTTAAAACATTTTAAGGACTGGCACAGTAGATGGAAAGAGACTAGGCTCAAAGCAAAAAAAGAAGGGCAATCAGACCTTTCTGATCTTGAACTCATTGTAGTTGAAGGACAGTTTGGTATACTTCTCGCCCTGAATAAAAAAAGAGAGAAGAAAGAAAAAACAAAAAAAGAAGAATTGGTTGAATTAGAAATGTCATAGAGTTAGCAGATAGGGACATTTCAACAAGGTGTTTTTTAACAATAATGTTAATTTTTTTCGGTTCTTTAAACACACACACTACAGAGGACTTCAAATAAAAGTCTTAATTCACTTCAGTGAGAAATAAACACACTATTCATGTTATAAAAATATGTTAGATAGTACAAGACCAGAGATTCTACTGGGCTACAGGGACCTCCAACTCCATTTGGGAATAGCTGTGAACTGTGACCATTGGTAAGTCATTACATTTGAGGTAACTGCTTATAGCATCTGGGTAACAGGCACACTTAAATGCGTGCACAAAGCCAAGTAATAATTGATCCTGTTATAATGAAGGAGAGGCCTCCTTTATGTAAAAAAATTCCTTACTTCTTCCACACCAAAGGTCTGGCATGCTTCAGTAGTCATGTAAATGAACTGAAATTCTTTGAATCTTCTTAGTCCCTGCCAGAAGATCTTGCACACCCTGCTCTTGATCATGATGTCCAATGTAACCTCGTACAAACTCTTAAAAGGACAAGCACAGGAAATAATTAAATCTAATGTAAGAATTCTAATATTATAAAAAGCCTAAGTCTGTCCGTCTGTCTGTAATGCTTTATTTGCAAACAGCCAACCAGAGTGTGAACAAGTGTTCGAATAGGAGCTGGCGGCGGTAGAGCACTGCCATGAAGGTCTGAACACAGGAGACGGGAGTGGGGGGGGGAAGGGGTGCGAGGCCAGGCCTCCCCTGCTCTGCTCCCTACAGGTGGCAAGAATGGAGCGGGGGGGAGGAGGGGGTGGCGAGACCATGGGAGCTGGCCCTGTCTCCCCCCACGCACTCCTTATACGTGGCGGCAGTGCAGGGAGGAACAACCACTCCTCCTTCCACCACCTCCTCGTCAGCGGGCCTGCTCCTCCTGTTCCCCCGCTGCCGCTGGGCTGGCCCAGGCCCGCTGCTTCCCCCACTGCAGCAGGCCAGCTTCTCCCCACCCTTGGGCCCTGGCCTCCCCTGCATCGGGCCCGGGCCCACTCCTCCCCTCCCCCCCGCTGCTGCGGCAAGGAGGTGGGGAGCGGGCCTGGACCCCAAGCAGCAGTGGGTAAAGGGGAGTGGGTCTGGATGGTGGGGGAGGGGCACGGGGCTCCGTCCCATGCTCCCCACCCGTTATTCTTGATGGGCAATTGGATAGTAATCATTTATATTTATAATGACTGGCCGCAGCATCTTATGGATGATATACCAGATTGAGAGTTTGGACATCTAGGTTCTATTCCTCGCTTTTGCCATTCATCAACTTTGAGACTTTGGACAAGTTACCTTCCTTCTCTAGGCCTGTTTCCCTCCCCCACCTTTGTCTGTCATAGCTTTTTAGATTATAAGTAACATGGAGCAAAGACTTTCTCATAGTGTATACAGTACAATGTAGCCCTGATCTCCACAGGAGCCACTAAATATTAAACTCATTAATCTTTAATTTAAGAACATAACAGACATTACAGCTTAGTAATATTTTAGTGATATGACTAACTGTACAATAGCCGCTAATCTGCAAGAAAAAGAACCCACAGGTGCCTTTGGAAGCACAAAGACCAGAAAGTTTTTATGGTCCACTATTGACAGATTTTAACTCAGGCACCTCAAAGTACCTCAAACGTAATTAATAATTATGTGACCACAATGTTACTATGAGATTGTTTTTCTTCAAGCTATGTCATTCTTGATCAGAAAAAGGTTCCAGGAAAAGAAGATGGTTAAATGGCTTACCGTAACATGTTGCTTGGCAATTAGGGAATGACAGCTTATGTTCTATTAGCAATCAGTAAGATTCAGGGATGAATGTCAAGATGCCATTGTTTTATAAGCAGGTTACAAACCTTAGCGTAGGGCAAAATCATGCTCTGCTTATGTTACTGCTATTATACCAAACAGAAGGGGAAGTGCAAGTGTTAAACATCTTAAGTTGCTAGTTGAATAGGGATCTGGAGAACTCCGCATTTTTAGAGCATTAACCAATCACCTCACTGAAACAAAGCACACTACTGCATCTTTACTGAAAGCAGAAAAAGGTCATTCCAAGAGAAAAACAGATACATTAGTCCACAGGCTGAATGGCTGCCTCAACCCACATGCACTTTTACACTAGATCAGTGATTCTCAACCTTTTTAGACTTGAGAAATCCTTTGGAAAATATCACCTCCTAGCTTTCACTCGTTTTTTGACTACACAAAAACAATAGAGCAATTCTCCTGTTGCAAAGAATTCAGAAAGACCACAGCAGGTCAGCATGTTTTTAGCATTATGGATTTCCATTTGAAATCTTTGGGTTTATCTTGTGGGTCATGTTTGCACAATGTAACGGTACTAACATCGCTTGGCACCCTGTGGCACCCTTGAAAGGATCTCAAGGCACCCCAGGGTGCCACGGCATGAGTTGAGAGTCACTTCATTAGACATAAGAAACATTTAAAAGAAATATCACAAACATTGCTAAACAAACTAAACTGTAAAAGATTAAATGTAAAATTGACAGATTCCAATCCAGTTAATCAAAAACAAACTTTGATTCCTGGTTTCTCAGGTATCAAATAAAAAATAACAAATCAATTTTCTTCCTTTCCTAACTGCTCTAAAAGTGATTTTATTAGAAAACATATTTACCAGGACCCTATAAACCCAATCATGTATGTTTCTTGTCCCCCATTCTTCTTATTTTTATGTTAGTATAAAGTACACATTAAAAGCAGGTATGGGCATAGAAGAAACGCTACTGAGAGCTTGTCTTTAAATAAAACCTGAGCTTGGAAGGTATATGGCACTCCTCCATAGGCTAAGCGTAGGGGGAGTAAGGGGGGGCACATGTACCCCCTGAGATTGGCCCTCACTGGCTGGGGAGTGGGAGCTTTGAGAGAAGCACTGGCTGGTGCCCCGCTGAGATTGGCGCTGGCCAGGGACCCCAAGAGCCGAGAAAAGTGCCGGCAGTACTTCCAGTTTTGCTGCTGGTGCTTCCGGGATTGGTGATAAGCCTCTGGGAGACCCCCCCCCCCCCCTACCCCCCAGTTGGTGATCAGCCACTGGTGCCCTCTCAGACTGAGGAGGCACCAGTCGCCCATGCATTTCTCCCCCTTTCAGGGCTTAAAACTTCCTTCAGCTATTGCACATTAGGACAGATCTTTTTGCAGGGGGCAGGTTATCTCAAAGCTTCCGATCACAGTGGGCATCTATACATGTTCTCCAGGGGGAAGAGGCGCTTTAATTAAAGAGGCTCTGAAAGCCGCTCTAATTAAAGCGCCTGCAGTGTCACATGTATTCAGCGTCCTCCACTTCAAAATGGCGGTGGCAGACTTACAGCAGACTCAATTAATCGAGTCTGCTCCAACATGTGTCAGAGCAGAGCTCCGTCTCGTGTATAGGTGCCCAGGATTTTTTGCTTCTGGCACAAGTCACTCTTGGTGATTCAGCACTAGATTAGCCAAATGACTCTGATCCAGTTGAATAACTCCTACATTCCTAACTCTGTCAGCCCCTTTACCTTACAATAGGAGCTGTCAAAGCTATGCTAGAGTAGCTAAATCTGCTTTGCATTGGGACGGCTTAGGATATGGACCTAATATGTCAAAATCCATTACTTCTTTTACTGCTAGGGTTTATCCTCCAAAGGGGTTCTGGAAAAACACATCATAACTGAATTATTTAAAGCCAATATACTACTTGAGAAAAGCACTAAATCAACTATCTTATTCAAGAGGAGTTGATGAACAGGTGATAAAAGTTGATAAACACTGAGGTATCAGCACAGAAAAGATCATACCTTAAAAGTTCTCTGCCAGTCAAATGAGATGGCTAACTTCTGATCTATAAATCAATAATACAGCTTGTTTTAAACACTATTTTTAACATTCATTAATAAGACATACTACTGTTGCTGGATAAAAGTTCATTCTTTCTGATCAGGTAGTCCAATTTAGTCTGGGTTTATGAAGCCTTTCCCACAACAGGACAGGTGGGTGACATTCCTTATCCAAACGCCAAACAAGAGCAGTCCATACACAGCTGCAATCCCAGTAATAGCACGTCCAATCACTAACTGGTAAGGAAACCAACTTTTTTGGGAGACCAGCTGGCTTGTTATATGGGGACAGAGAACCTTATTTTATCAGTAGGTAGGGGAGCAGGTTGTTAGCTAGTAATCACTGAAGCGTAGCCAAGAGGTGGCAACATAAGGAAGATGTTCTCGTTACCAGGGAAAGAGTAATTTCTGTATCTAGATCTCTTGAGTATACGGGTTTACTCTGTTGTAGACCTGGGTCAGAAAAGAAAGGCAGAGAGAAGGAAGAGAATTGCCTGACCTCAGATCAAAACTACCTCCCTCCCACCATCACCATAAAAGCAGTTTAGTTGTTGTGAGCACTGTAAGATAAAGTAGGGACCAGGAACTGACAGGTGCTAACCAACTGCTCCCATGGGAAGGGCAATTCCAAAAACAGAAAGCTGAAATCAACTAGAACTATGGAGTCTGAAGTTGGTGGATTTGGATGGGGGCACTATTAAGTGAGCAGACTGAAGAAGGCCTAGGAGTATCAGTGGAGATTATACATTTAGAGTAGAGGGCCATGGTGGAGGCCTATGAAAGGAACTATAGAGTAATGAGGGATATTAAGCCTAGGAAAATAGCTATAGCCTCCTGGTAAGACTAAAGGGAGGCTTCAAAGCAAAAGTTTCTCCCCTGCACATTAAGAGAAGCACATGAGTCTAGAGAAGGGCCGTTATTTGACCCTGGTACCAACCGAACCAGGAACAATGTTGCTGGTTTCTGGGAAGCATACGCCATTTCATCTGGTACATGGTTATGGCTCCCTGTACTGACCTTCCCTGGTCTCCAATAGCCACAGATTCCGCAGGTCTTTGTGACAAGTTCAGAATCCAGCTGCAGAATCCCATGGACATCCCTGTATTCAGCTCTCAGCAACAAACCCCTTTGGGAAACTCACTCCCAAGAACTTACTCCCTCTGGAGACTCTTCTGTGAAAAGCCACCAAGGAGATAGCCCAAGTTTTTTCAGAGAGACTCAGTCTCCCATTGTAGCTAGCATGCCCCTACTTCATTAACTCTCCATTGTCAAAAGCTGCATCTTCCTGCTTTTGCCTCGAATCAGTCCATGCCCTTCTATCTTGGGCAGCGATTCTCAACCAGGGTGCCACAGTACCCCAGGGTGCTTTGAGATCCATTTACGGGTGACACACAATATTTGCAGTTAGACATGCAAACACCTACACTCAATTCAAAAGAAAAACCCAGAGATTTCAAATAGGAATCCATAGTGTCAAAAACCTTCTGACCTCCTGTGTTCTTTCTGAGTTCCTTGCAACAGAAGAGCAAAGACTTAAGAGCAAAGACTTAAGTTTGCTCGAGTTTAAAAATGTTGAGAAACATTAGTCTTGGTGATGCCCCTTTTGTGCATCCCCTCCTTCCTGTAAAATAATTTAGGAAAACACAACACAAAGCAGCATTCTTTTCCACTGAGCCCTCTCAGCCTCGTCTCTCCTGTAGTATCATCTAGGGGGTATTTTTTGGCAAGCGCAGCCCCAAAGGAGCCACACAGGTAGCAATGAAGCAGGCCGTAACGAGCAAATTGCTCACAGAGATGAGCAACTTCCACAGAGATGTAAATCCCACAAGCTTAAATAGGGTTTAGGACCTATTTTGTGTCAAACTTAATTGCTTGATACAACAATGCAAAAGCATCTCACCTTTGTAGAAATTTTCAAAAACATCCAGTCCTTCCAATGGGTTTTTTTGGGGGGTTTTTTGGTTTTTTTTTTATAGGATACAGCGAACTTGGATGCTCTCAATCCAGCTTCAAACATCAAGCTTATTGTTAGAGAAATCCATACATAGGCATGTATAGCAACACGCATACTTACAGTGTTATATAGATAATAAACAGAAAGTATTTGTACTGGGGATCTTTAACCCTCTGTATTTTTGTGGTCCTAGTTTGGTGGAGGCCCCCCTCTCTGATTGGCTGAGGGGGCCTAGTGGCCCCACCCCTTGCTGCTGATTATGGGGACTGTCCATCATGCAGCTCTGCCCCTTGCTGCTGATGGGCCAAGGGCTGTCCATTGCGTGGCCCCAACCCTCACTGCTGTTTAGTGGAGAAGGGCAGGGCTGCACAACAGGCAGCGCTCAGCCAAGTGAGGGGTGGGGGAAGACGGGGGAGAAAGAGGTGGCCACCATCTTGGCTACTCCCCTTCACATTGGCAGAACTCCTCCCGGCAGGATGCATGGCTGGGCCACAGCAGCCATGAGAACCACTGGCTCCCACAGGGGAGTCAGCATTTTTTTTTTTTTTGGCAGATTTTGCAGACATTGCCTCATTTCCCAACTATGCCTGATTTTACAATTTCCGTGAAATTCACAAAACTGAGACTTGAGTAGGTCCCTAGTCATAAGCCTGTGGCAGGAAACATAAAATGCCCTAGTTCAGGGGTTTTCAACCTAACAAGTGTACCCCTTCTCTCTCACAGTTCCAGCTCATATACCCCTTTGTATTTTTTTATTGTTTTTAAGTGGGGGGGAGCAGATTGAGGCCCCAAAGGTGAGGGAGGGACTGGGGCTGCACAGCCGGGGCAGAGTGCAGGATGCAGCCACGAGTGACTCATCCGGGGGTGGGGAGGGGTGGGGGGGGGGATGCGGAGTGGGTGGTAGCTTCTGCCGGTGCATACACCCTAGGAGGGCATGGGGGTGTGTGCCGCCAGATCTGCACAGGGGAGGTGGGTTGCTGCTGCAGGCTGGGGCCAGCACCGGGCTGTTCCAGGTGGGAGCTGGGTTGGGTTAGGCCAGGCCGGGCTGTGCTCAGGGCAGGTGGCGGTGGTGCTGGGAGGGGGTGTGGGGGGCTATGGCAAATATTGGGGTAGCTGCAGCCCACCCATAGTCCCCCTCCCAGCACCACTGCCGCCAGCCCCAAGCGCAGCCCAGCCCAACCCCATTAGGAAGAGCCCGGAGCAGCCCTGGCTCCAGCCTGCAGCAGCATCTTGCCCTGCACAGATCCAGGGGCACATGCCCCCTGTGCCCTGCTGGGGTGTGCGCAGCAGCAGAAGCCGCTCCGGCCCACTCCCTCCCTTACCATAGGGGCCTCGATTGAGGCAGTGAACAGTTCATCAGGGGGATGTCGGGGGAAGCTTCTGTTGCTGAATGCATCTCGGGAGGGCTTGGGGGATGGATATGCCCCCTGATCTACGCAGGGTGGGGCAGGCTGCAGCTGTGGACTGGGCTGTTCAGGGTGGGGGGCTGGGCTGTACTCAGAGCGGGCAGTAGCAGCACTGGGAGGGGGCTATGGGGGTGCTACAGCGAATTCTAGAGTGGCTGCAGCCCTCCCATAGTCCCCTCTGAGCATCGCTGCTGTCCGCCCAGAGCACAACCCAGCCCAGCTCCTGCCCCAGCCCTACTCCCTCCCCTGCACTGGGACCTTAATCTGTCCCCCCACTCCTTCCCCCAGGCCCCTTCCCTCACAACACACTTACCAGCTGGACCTGGCTGCTCTTTTGGCTGCCTGCGTGCTGCATTGCAGCTGCACACATACACATGGCATTTATTAGCCACATTAGATCTGCGTACTCCCTTTTTAAGTACCCCTAGGGGTATGGGTACCCCTGGTTGACAACCGCTGCCCTATTTATTTTAGTTTGTGATAAGTGTCCCTAGAAGCCTTTCACTTTAAAGGAGCTAATCTATTGTCATGTTGATAAGGGCCAGTTAGTTCTAGGCTTTTGATCTAAGACTTGGTATTCTTCAAAGTCTGATGAATACATACTAAGGAGTTAGTAGCAATAGTCATATTGAAAATGGTTATTTTATATAATCAATATCAACAAACAGCACTTCAACCAGGAAAAACGTAACCAAGACTTAAAGAAAACGCAACACACAGCTCTCTTGTTTAAAAAAAAACAACTTTACAACCAAACAAGGAACACTATACATTAAGTTACAATATATATATATATATATATATATATATATATACACATACACACACACACACAAATGTATATACACAAACATACATGTACATTCCTCTCTTTAGACTTCGTACAAGCTGAAAGTTTCCTCATAAGCACACCATCAAGCTTGTGTCTCAATAACACAAAAAGGAACAGGTGACCAGTTGACTCTGTTGGCTTCCATCTGAGAGGCTTCTATCTTTCTTTCATAAAACAGACTCATATCTCTCAAGTGTTTTTTCTGCATTTTAGCAGAGTTTTTGCGAGCATGCACACACACACAAAGCCCTTATGTAACTGACCGATTGCTGCCATTAGCAACTGATACATAGAGGAAAGATCAGTAAAGAATTAGACTGTTTTAAACAAATGTGGAAGCTCAACATTAGTAGGCATGGAAAGTAAAGGTTTGAACAGGACAACCCTAAAGAAATGGATGTAACATTAGAACCACTGCTACTGTAAACTCATAACCAACTGCTTTCAATGTAAACTCAAACCCAAATTTCTATGGATCTTACTGCAACATTCTCAAAAAAGCACTGGGCTTGATTGGTCTCTCACTCAACCAGTCTGACTGCATTGAAATCAATGCATTTTATTTCTGATTTACACAAGTATACATGAGAGAAGAAAGGTCTCTCTCAACTGTAACCTTCCACTGAAAACTAGTCCACTATCAATCTGAGTACAATGACTGGGCCTATGTGCCCAGTTCACTTCAGTTTTTTGTGAAACATGACAAATTACATAAACATAACTTTGTATGAGGGAGGACTGTGGTATCTCAAAGAATGACACTAGCAAAAAGCCTGAGTCTATATTTAAAGGATAGAAGAATTCGAATTTTGAGACGCTAAAGTTTTTTGTAAACTATGAGTTTCAGCAAAAAAAAGCAGTTCAAAATGAAAAACAAATGATTTTTCATGTTTCTATGAACAAACTAGAGAAATAGGCTTGTAACATTTTTATTTGTTTGTAATTTATTCTACTACATTGCTGCCCTTTAATATCTTATCTCCTTTTAATGGCAACATTTTTATTCTATTCTTTACAGAGTAGTGTGCAATTCCAGGTAGATTATAAATAGGCACTCAGGCTGCTATTGAAAATGAATGGAAGAAGTATTTCCTTTAACAGTCTGCATCACCATGAACAGAAGTTTATATCCTTGTTTATTGTAGATCAGATAATTAATGACTCAAATTAGGAAGAACAGTAACTATTAAATGAGTATCCTGCTCCCTGGAGAAACAAGAACAGTGAGAATTTAAAATTGTTGTGAACTTAGGTTTTTTACTGTAAAAAATCTGTAACCTAACACTGGTAACATTTAATTCTAGTTTGCTCTTTTGACTCAAACTTTCAGATTAATAATACTGAAGTATGGAAGAGGGTGTTTTAATTTGGAATGTATTGGTTGAAATAAAAAAACAAGCAGTAGAAGGTAACTGATACTAAACAGCTGTTGAGGGGGAGGAGGTATCAATTTTTAACGTACTGTTGACTAAATTTGAAAAAAAATAATTCTATATGCTGTGGACTCCAGTGCAGTGAATGAAGCAGGACTGAACATTAATTCATTCTAGATGTGCCACAATGTTAACAGAAATATAAACTGAAAGGCAAGATCTCATTGGATTTACTTATACAGAAATGTATGAGGCATACCACAAAAAGAAATGAGTTTAAACATAATATAGGATACTCCACAGAACTAGAAATTCTCAATGTCCCCACAATGTGCTCTTACCTAAGAACACAGACCCTGTTTGAAATCTTAGATTAAACTAAACCATTAATATTAAAACAAACTGTGTTAGTAGTATATGTTAAACTCACAGAAGTAAAAATATTTGGAGGTATGGTTAAGCACAGTACTTACCTAACTGATGTGCAAGTAAAGTAATTTGGAGATCCTAAGTGTAATGGGAGCCTTCAAGGAGTTTTAGCTTAAATTCACAAAAGTAAGGACAAAATAGTAAGGTCAAAAATAATTTCAAATGTCTAATAGTTATAGATTTTTGCACATTCTTTGCATATGTTAAGTGTATCATTTTTTTATCCTTTCATCTACAAACATTTACAATTCTTTCTTTTTTTCACATCAGTAGTTAAAATTGACAAGCTGTTTTTTTGGGATGAATATGTAAATGGAAAAAGTTCTTGGGTCAAGTTTCTGAAAGTCATACAAGTTATAATGATTTATTAAAAATTACTGAGTTATCAATCACTTGAAATAGGGATTAATAGTGGAAATGCTGTTAAAGCTTTACCTATAGTGGTTGAGAATGACAGAATAAAACTCAGTAGCTGAAGCAAACCAATTAGAGTTAATTTGGAAGTTATAATGGACCTTTTTTTAAATTTCACTTAGTGCTTAAAACTGATTTGTATATACTTTATGAAAGTATGAGGCATTTGTTAAGAATGATGCTTGTCATGCTGACTATGACTATTTTTGCTGCTTAATAGGGGCCTAGCTAATGCTGGAATATGATGTAGAAAAAAAATTCCTCTAATCTTAATTGAATTCGCTCCTTAAATATACCTGTAATCTATTAGAAACAATACAGAACCTTTTTAAATCCGAAAAGGACTTTTAACTGGTTTCTGGTTAAAATTTGAGACACACATTTATTCTCTGAATACTGAAAACAGCATACTTATGCATATTGCTTGTATTCCTATTGCTTGTATCAATTCCTCAGGTAGCTAAAGGTTTGGGAGGCTCTTTTGTAGCATGGTACCACTAATACCTTCCCTGTAAACATCAATGTGTTAAACTGTATAATGCTTATCTGAATGCATGGTGTAAGTGCACAAAGTAAAAGAGAAATAAGCTGAAGTAATCATTCACCAAGAGACAGGACTGTTGCTTTTGGTTATTATGACCAGCTGGGCAGCTGCCCTTTCAGAATAAAGACTGCAGGCTGAGAAAATAAACCCCATTGTAAATGCCAGAAGGCTAAATGTAAGTGGCAAAACATAAAGACTCCTTTACCACTTCAATCCATACACTTCTGTTCATTATACATCTTTGCTTTCATGTGGCAACAGCACTTTCCCTTTTTTTCTTTATCTTTACTTCACTAAAACTCCTAGAGTTCTAGTCCACATTTTTCAAATGTCTGCTATCCCTCAGCACTCTTAAGTTTAGCATCTTGGTTTTCAAAGACATTAGTTTTCCCATAAAACTATTGTCATTGTAGATACAATTAATATTTCAGGGCAGATTGTGCGCCTACGGAGCACCAAGACAAGAAAGGGTTTCAAAGAGTCTAGCAAGAGCAGCTTTTAGACCCACATTATAGAACTCATGGATTTAATTGTGGAAGACCTGCTGAAACACTGACCAGTCTGGATAATATATGAATTACCCAAAATTTGGAAGGAAGAGGGAGGTCGTGCTCCACATGGGAACTGCATGACCTGGAATTGGCAGTGAACCGTATCAGCTGTAAATCAAAGCAGCTGTCTGTCAGAACTAGTGCATGGTGCCTATGCTGAATGTCACAATGCCATTTTGAAGAATGGCATTATTTTGAGAATATTCGCCTTCTTTTCCAAGAAATGTAGAGTCCTCTGAGTTGCAAATCCTTAAAGCATTCATAGATTTAAATAGTGGAGGAACTGTGGCAGTCTCTGATTTTATCTCCCTCTACAGACAATGCTTGTTCTCTGGGTTCTTGTTTAACTTGGCCCACACATACGGTACCTTCAGGATTTTCTTCAACTTTGAAAACAAAAACACATACAAAAAACAAAGGTTAAAATTCTAGTTTGTTAAACACGTGTGTTAAAAAGAAGAGAACAAAAAAAACACTTAGATGCTATGATCTGTATACATTTAGGAGCAAGATATAATGGTTGCAGTTCAGGAAACCATGGTAATTCAGTAATTTGAGGTAAAAGTTATGTCATCTGTCATGTTAAAAGATGAAACAAGCAGAAATCAATTCATTTCAATAATCAGCTCACAAATACAAAGCTAGAATAGCTTTATCCAGAAAAAAGAACTAATAATATGATTAGTTTTTCCTGAAGAGATCCTTTCTTTTGTTAAAAGAATAGTCCATTCTCCAATGAATCCTATCTGAAAAATTTACTAGACTGCAATCAGCCCTAATGTACGTAACTGCTTTGACAGCAAAAATACTGGAATTGCACCAAATTAAAGAACAAGACTTAATGTGGTCCATCCATTTCAGTACACCAGGTTGTCATCTTCACATAGTACTTTGGGGAAGCAGGGTGTTACCAAACAGTTTTTTGCAGACTGCTAACACTTAGCTGGTTTATAAGTGCTGTTTTAAAGCAGCTTATACCTTGCCCCAAAACAAAAAAGATACCTACTTAGTTTGGAATCAGTTCGTTAAAATACTCTCATACTTAATGACCATTCAGTAAAGGATTGGGGGGGAGGGGGAAGGATTGGAGGAGGGGGTAAGGATTATACAGCACAATTACAATTGGTTTGTCCAGATTATGTATATGGGTGCTTGCACGCAGGGGAATGATACCTCAAAATGCATAATGTTAAGATCAGAAAGTTTGCTTATAAAATGTGTCCTCTGGTAAATGATTTCAGATTGGGTTTGTTACTTAATAGTCTTTTCCCTTGGATCTAGCCCTAATTTGTCTCCCGACCTCCTACTCTCCAGAGCAGCAGGAGGACTTGGCCCCTTGAGCAGAAGAAACATTTGTTTTGGATAGAGACAACTCTCTCAGACAAAACAGGAGTAACACTGATATGCTCTGAAAGGGTTTCCTCATAGTTTACAAGTGTCTAACAGGATGGAGATTGTACACAGAAACCTGCAGACAGAAGTAATAGAACTGTAGCATAAAAATGAATATCCCTCAAGAGTGGTGGATGGCCTTGAGGAAAACATAAAAGGACTGTTTTGCTTTGTTAAAACAGTTTATAGTTTAAATAGTTTGCACAATTTTATTATCTTATTCAACAAGTGGCTTTCACACTTGGAAAGGTGTAGGAAGTGATTTGGAATTGCAGAATAAGCAAATTATTCACTGAATATTTCTGCTAAACTGCTCAGTACATATGGTTAAAGAAATTCACAAAGAGAAAACTAGGAGCAACTTCCAGCTATCATCTCTCAGGCTGTCTGCAGACCCAGAAAGACATGACTGCACTGATTTGTTTGTGGTACACAATCAGAGAGTTTTCTTCACAACTGAAAGACCCAGAAACTTTTTAAATGAACGTCTGGATTCTTAAAACACAGTTGTCAGTAGAATATACATTCTGTATCCAATCCTACACCTGGGGTTTTTCTGACTACACAGGATCCTGAGGATTTTTTAGGGGCTTTCTGTTTTAGGAAAGTATAAGAGTCTGACTTGATTATATGATTTTCTTTTTAAAATAAGTGTTTGACAGCCCCACAAGTAACAATTAAAAAACCTCCAACTTCCAGCATCTCTGGAAGTATTTCAGCACAGTAAAATACAGGAAGCACAATCTGAACCTACCCAAAGAACAGAACAGGTCTTACACAAAGTAGTAGAGTGAAGGGGAGGGAAAGCCAAAAGAACCTGAAGTTACAGAGTTTGAAATGCATCTATGTTGGTTGATTTCCTTTTAATTGCTAGTTTAGAAAAGAAATAAAGATATTATTTACGGAAAATCATAGTAACTCAGGGTAAGAAAAATGAGAAATGTTCAATTAAAGGGTTATGAAAAACCGAATAAAGATTTAAAGTTTAAAAAAGTTAAGTTTTTAACAACACTGCTTTTGAACTTTCAACTTAAATATATATAACTAGTTGCAATAAAGCCTAAGCAAGATCAGCCAATTCAGTTACTTGAAGCAATAACTTGGTAGTCACAAACTTCCTATAGCACCCCAGAACACACTTGGTTACAGAAATTATATTTTCAGTTTATATTTTTTTAATATCATTAATCAGACAAACTTACTGAGAGCTGGGTGGTTGTCCACTATCCGTATTGGAATAGTTTGTACATCTCCCAAAAGAATCTGATGGATACTTCCTTCCAAGTTTCCTGTGTCCTCCACACCTCTGACAGTTACCAGTTGGCCCATAGCAACCAAATTTTGATCTGGTACAGGCAGATTTCCAAGACTGGAAGCACTAATGTTGCCCTGCGTTAAATTGGCACCTGTTTGAAGGTTATGTCCTTGGCTGAGTACTAGAGAGTGGTTAGTTATTGCACTCCCTATGGAATCCAGAAGGCTGGCGGGGCTGGGAAGAGAGTGGCTATTTACAGCTATGAGGGCTGTTGCTCCATCTGTAGAGGCATATGTTGGCTGCAGCTGCAATCCCTAAAAAAAGAAGACAGAAATACTTTAGTATTGACCAGGATGGATTTGACTGAAATCATGGTTTAAATCACTGGTCAGGAAGCCTTGATTTAATCACTGTTTTCTACAAAAAGTCTGAATTCTTGTTTGATATCCTTAATTTAACTTCTTGAAACTTTGCACTTTTAGAGAAAGGTAAGGGCTTGACTGCATATGCAAACTTGCAGAGAGACAGGAGGGCTGTAATCAGGTCTGTTACCTCTCATATCCATATACTGCTGTTAACAAGGATGTTATCTCTGGGGAGACGAATCCAGTTTCAGAACTGAAACTAAGCATCACAGAGATGCTTAACGGGACCTTATAGACCAGTGGTCTTCAACCTTTTTAAGTGGGAGATCATTTTTTTAATTAAAAACCAACCTAAGATCTACAGCAGTGAGGGAGGGACTGGGGCTGGGGCACCGGCAGGCCCTGTACAGCCGGGACGGGGTGCGGGACAGAGCTGCGAGCAGCTTGCTCGGGGGGCATGGGGCATGTAGTCTGGGAGGGCATGGGGGTGGTGTGCCCCCAGATTGGCATGCAGGGTGGGGTGGCGCTGGGCTCTACCTGGCAGGGGTGTTAGGCTGGGCTGTGATTGGGCTGGGTGATGGTAGTACTGAGAGCAGGGCTACGGGGGAGGGAAGAGAGGGAGGCTGCAGCCACCTGAAAATTTGCTGGCAGGAGGCTAGACCGTGCTGCACCCAGGGCAGGAGGCTACAGTGAATTTTCAGGTGGTTGCCAAACCCACCCCCCCTCTCCCTGTAGACCCACTCCCAGCACCGCCGCCAATCTGTGTGCAGGGCAGAGGAGGCTGCTGCTGTTGCAGGCTGGGCTTTACACCCCAAGCTCTGCTGCAGCTGGCCTGGGAGTGGCTCAATGCCACATGCGTCCAACCGCTTGGCTAAGCTTCGTCTGCTGCCTGCCCAGTGGTGGGATGCACGTGACATTGGGCCAGTCCTGGGCAAGCTGCAGCAGGACTTAGGGCACAAAGCCCAGCCGTCAATGTCAGCCATCTCTGGTGTGCATAGATTGGGGGGGCCCTCCACCAGGGTGTGCACAGTGGCGGGAGCCCCCCTGTGCCCCCGCCAGCCTAAGATCAATTGCAAGAGGCTCCGTGATTGACCAGTCAATCGCGATTGACCGGTTGGTGACCACTGTTCTAGACTGAGCACTGAGCCCTGAGCCCCACTGGGTACAGTGGTTTTCTTTAATCTTTACTAATCTATAAACCCCATAAAATTGGGATTCTAATATAGCCCATGGCCTATTGTGACCTATTTATAAAACTTTTCTAAAAAGGTTATATGAATATATTGTCTCAAATAGTATATAATTAGAAGTTATAATCCCTATTCCATGGTGCTATCTTTGAGCTTTAACCTATTTTACTTTTTTAAGTAAACCTATATAAAAATAGTTTTAGTGCATCTTAAAACATTAAAAAGATTAAACAAAAACATCTGATTTAAATTTATAAAAAAATTAGGTTTTTTTTAATTAAAAAAAATTGTTGATTTTTATCCACCCTGGTATTGACTATCTCAATAACAAAGTGCGAGGACTTTGGCCTTATTACGTTATACTGAATGCTGGTGTTGGAGGAATCCCTACTTGTAATTTACTGCAGACAGGAAGAGATTTTATGCAATCCCAGGCTCGTTTCACATGACTTACAAGAACAGACATAGGTTAGAAGTGTCCAACCTTTTGCCTCATGGCCACTTTCAGCTTTCTTAACTGCAAGTCTAAATTAAAACGTACTGTTTGTATTTAGTATTAGCATTCCCCCACTAGCTCATATTCCCAGGAGGAGGGTGGGCATAAAAGGGCAAAGCAGTCCTGAACTGCTGCTCCGTTAAAATGATAGAGTTGGCTGGGAAAGAGCAGAGTGCTGGAGCCATGTCATTTCTACAGCACGAAGGGGGGGGAAACAAACAATACAGTGGCTAATAGCAGAGAAGGCTGGAATTCAGGACAGAGAGCACACAGAAGAGGGACATTAATAGGAAGCATCCCACAAAAACAGAAAAGGGGCAGTAATGCTTATTTTAAAGAATTTTATGAGTTTTTAATGCCTTGAAGGAGCACTGCAGACCCCCAGTACCTCACATTAATGGATTAAGGGGTGAAAGAGGGAGAAAAGAGGAAGCAAGGCTAGATGAGAGTGATTGAGGCAGAATGGGAAGAGGAGGCATGGAAAGCATTCCTGAAGAACATGGATAGAGGAAAGGATAGAGATTTGCAATTTTGGATATAACTGGAAAAACAGATGAGTTCCTGGTAGGGGTACATTGATTTTTTAGGCTGATACCAATGACCCATATCGGCCAATACCGATCTGATTGCCAGTATTGATCTGATTGCCAATATGCAGCCCAGCAGTTTAGGGAGCAGCGTCCAACTGGTAAGTCTGTTGGGGGAGAAGGGGCAGGAGGAGGCGAGGGAAGGGGGGGGGGCAGATTGAGGCCCCTGTGGTGAGGGAGTGGGGCTGCGGCAGGCACTGCCCAGCTGAAGCAGGTGGGGCAGAGAGCGGGAGGGAGCCACAGGGGCAGTGTCTCCTACCACGGTGCACACCCCAAGGGGAAGCATGGGGGCATGTGCCCCCTGGATCTGTGTGCAGGGTCAGGGTAGGCTGCTGCTGCAAGCAGCACCAGGCTCTTCCTGGTGGGGAGGTAGGGCTGGGGCTGCGCTTGGGGTGAATGGTGGCAGAGTTGGGGGGGGCGCGGCTATGGCACTTCTGCCCACCCCTGGCCCAACCTCCACCACAAGGAAGAGCCTGGTGCCACCTCCAGCCCACAGCAGCAGCCTGTCCTGGCCCCGTGCACAGATCCAGGAGGCACATGCCCCCCATGCCTTCCCCATGGGTGCTGCAGGAGATGCCCCTGCTGCCCCGGACAAGCTGTTCGTGTCACCCTCCCACACCTGCCTCAGCCCCACTCTCTCCCTCACTGCAGAGGCCTTGACCTGCCCCCCCATGCCTCTTCCCTTCTCCTATCCAGGCATGTGGCATTTCTTGACAACATTATGGGCCACATCAACCAAAAAAGCCAGTTGCCAATAACATCAATTTTCCTTTTACCAGCACCGATACGACATGGACCAATGTATCGGTGCACCTCTAGTTCCTGGGACATGGCTAAGGTTTCTTTCAGGATTCAGGTATCATTTTAGATATAGCTGTTGCCGCCTTTGAGCAGTGAGGTGGACTAGGTGACCTCTCAAGGTCCTTTTCAGTCCTATTTTTGAGGCTTTAGATAACTATACAGGAGACAGCTTAGGGAAGAAGGCAGACAAGGAAAGGAACACTATAGCCAGGACTTCCTAAAATCTACCCCTCTTGATGCCCAGATGATAAAATTAACTGGGGAGGGAGAGGGGGCTGAGGTGTTCATCTTTGAACCTAAACTTTCTGTTTCAGTGGAGATGAGTTGGAGGCTGATATAAAAAGAAAGAAAGCTGCCAGAGGAACAACTAAGGTACTTCAGAATCTGGTTTTACCTAGCAAACATTCATGCAGGGAGTGTGCAATAATGGAGATGAAACTTGCAGTCCCCAATCTCTATCAGGATTTCCACAACAAAATGTATTGGAATTCTAGCTATTTGATGGAGGGTGTTTAAGAATTTAATTTTACCTGAAGTTGTGCAAATATCTTGGGCCGGAGCGATGAGAGTGAAGACAATAGCTGAGCTGTCTCCGGAGGCAAGGACTCCTCAGTCTGACTGCGTTCCACTTTGGTGATGACGGATTCTCCTGGTGAGCTCCCTATAGAAGAATAAACAGGTACAACAAATATTCTCTCTTTTGGTTTAAAGATTCCTTAAATAAATCTGATGTTCTAAAGCTCAAATATATTATATTACAACACTGGAACACATATAGACTTACATTTAAATAAATGTTTTTATTCTGCAAAGAATTTGAGACTAAAGGAATGAGAAAGGATTAAGTGAAGGGGGAGGGGGAGAAGAGAAGTCAATCAGTAGCAAGATGACAGGCATATATATCAAGGCAGAGATCGTAAAATGAAGAAGAAGAAAAGCAACTGCTCTACACCTTGCCTGTCAAATTCTAGGCAATGTAAAAAGTAAAAGAATTATTGTCAAAGCAGAAAGCAAATTGTCTTAATGCATACACATCCTAAAGGAACAGCCATTAGGAGAAAAGTGGTATAAAAAGAACAAAAACAAAATGTACTATATCCTTTGTAGCTTTCTGCAAGGCAGTTTCTGCCTGCTCTGTGGAATTCAGATAACATCAGTACAGGTAAACTACTATGCCAACTTGAATTTGAAAGAAATCCCTTTTATCCATAAGCCTTTCTTTGCAGGTTATTGTACAGTATTTCCATATGGGAAGACATATTCTGGGGAAGTTTTATTGCCTCCATCTCCCCAAGCACTACTGTGAAAAACCAAAACCAAAACAAAGACTTTATTATGACTGCTTCCCAAAAAAGTATCTTCTACTGGATGATCATATTTCCACTGTATAAAACCCAAAACATTTTTAATATATTTAATGACATTAAATTTATAGAGGCATGCAATTTAATTCCCAAAATCAGCAGCAGGCACAATCAGCAAGAAAAATCACTCATCCAAAATCTGTAATTATGAGAATTAGCTTGGTAAGTAGAAATACTGGAAACTGAATAGTCAGAAATTACAAAACTTCTTTCAGCAAATCACATAAGCTTTTCCACCAATGTTACTATGGAAGGAGACACTTTAACATATCCTGAGTTCAGAACTGGCCACCTATAAGATATAGTTCCCATTTCTGTTTAAGTCTAATTACCTTGCTATCCTATAGCTAGTACACTATTGCTGTAGATCAGTGGTTTTCAACCTTTTTCATTTGCAGACTCCAAAACATTTTTGAATGGAGGTGCAGACCCCTTTGAAGTGTGGACAATCACATACCTTTGATTGATCATAGACATCTTTCGCAGACCCCTTAGACAGTTTGTGGACCCCAGGGTTCCACAGACGACAGGCTGAAAACCACTGCTCAAAATATTTTTAATACCATATAATGCATCTATGCACATGGCACTCTGTGAGGCTGATTATTACCTTATGTCCCACAGTATAAGAATGGTCCACTGTATTTAATACAATGTCTACGTATACAATGTATGCATACTAGATACAAGAACAGTTTATTGAACTGAACAACACATTGCTAGTCCCAATGTTTTGCCTCCTACTTACATTAGAGCAAACATTAGCTATCTGCATATTGGTTAAATGCCTAGCATCTTTCAGCACCACTGTCTACTATGAATTATAACTGTATTCCACTGAATTGTCTAATAACTGGTGCCAGAAATGCTTAAGTGGAAGCAGCTATCAAAAGGCTGTTATAAGAAGCCTTGAAATTGACAGAAGCTAATCAAGGCTCATTTTCCAGGATAAATACATACTCTAGTTAAGTGTATAGCCTTTTAACAGTTTCTGAAACTTTTTGCTTAAATAGAGAACACTACTTCACAACAGAGTTGAAAGAACCTCTAGAGACTTACAAAGCTACAATGCAACATTGATTCTATGCTTTGCAGAGGACAAGAAAAAGGCTGCCATACCATGAAGAACCCAAATGTAAAATAATAGAGTATTCCTAATAGAAAAGCAAACCACCATTTCCTCTGCTGATACTTCTCCTCTGCAAGATAAGATTTGTCCACATTTGGGACAAACTGAAAAAAAACAAACCCCTCATACTAAAAGCAGTTTACTTGGGCATCAGTTGCTCTTTTCCACTTGCCATCATTTCAAATGCGTGAAAGTGACTTAGGTATCCTCTCTTTTTACTTATTTTTTAAGTTAAATTATATATGCCTATATTTGTTCTATCATACTCTGTTTCTGCAAAAATTAATACAATGTTATAAACACCACAGACTCATTTGAGCAGGATTAAGATGACAAAATAGGCTGGAAAGAAAAGTGTTAATTGTTAGATAACTGAGGCATCTAGTTAAGTTGTACAGACACCTGGGTAAAACCCACATCTCTAAAACAGCATCTTGTTTCATGAGTTTAATTTGTGCTAGGGAGCTATTTGTGGGCTTTGAATAAAACAAGATTTGAATATAAAGATAAACAGAAACTGATGCTTTCTAGGTTCCCTCTACTCTAAAATAAGCCTTCCTTAGAAGAGAAATGCTATTCAAATTATTAAATCTAAAACTTGATCTCCTGTATTTTGACAGTTGTCCATCCTGAAATTCTTACCTTAAGAGTTCCAAGCGTAGGGGATGTTTTTCAGTTCAAATTGGTCCATTGCAACAGCAGCTAAAATAAAAATTAAAAACAAAAAACAAAGGCCTAACTTAGTGTGCAACTGGTTGTAAATGCACTGGTGTACACAACCTCTCACCACGAACTACGTTCACCAGGTCATTTATGAAAAATAACACATCACACATTAAGCCAAACTTTTGTTTTTGTACCTTTACTGCTACAATATCAATAAGGATTAGATTAGGTTATAGGAAGAATCAAACCTATCAGGAATTCTTCAGGCAAGAACTGCAATGCAGGATAACTGTCAATACAGGTAAATCTTTAAGCATAACAACCTTGACAGTGTTCCTTTAATAATCTAGAGAATCCTGTATCAAACACCTTTTTTATAAAGTACTACAATGCCACATCCCAAAGACATAATGGTACAAGACGACCACAGATATTAACTAAATTACAGATGCTTAGAGTCATTTTAACACATTGAAAATGATCATACATACAAGAGAGGGGAAAGAATAGGGAAGAGCCTTCTTTTGTGCCACAATGTTCTACTTGCAGGGTTAAACAGGTTTAAAAATATGGAAACAGTCAACGGTCTAGATACAAGCCTTACCAGTAGGGATCCGGGTTTTCTATTTCAGACAGAAAAACCAAGAAAAACAGATTTCTCATTTTAATGAAGAAACACGTGGATTTTGCACTTTTGCAAAGAGCTCTCTGCAGGCTGGCAGAGTTCCAGTGGGAGGAGGGTGGTCAGGCAGGGGGCACCATGTGCATGGACATTAGGCCTGTGCGCATAAGGAAGTATTCGATTAGGATTCGGTTTCAGCTGATTCGGAGGACAGTGATTCGATTCAGAGATTTAGATCACTGTCCTGAATCGATTTTGCCAAATCAGGTTTGAAAGATTCGGCACTGGTTTGGAGAGGTTCGGCAATTTCGATCGGCCGGGGATAGGCAGGCACAGCTGTGTGGCTGCAGGTTCTCCTGCAGCTCCTCTGGCTGTGCCTACCTCTCCCCGGGCAGGGAGACCCACGGGAGAACCCCCCATGGCTGCCCAGGCCCCTGCATCTCCTCGGGCTGTGCCTACCTCTCCCCGGGCAGGGAGACCCACGGGAGAACCCCCCATGGCTGCCTAGCCTGGCCCCATCCTCCACCCAGCTCCAGCCTAGTCCCCACACTTTTTTTTTTTTAAAAAGAAGCCCTGCACTCTCCGACTGCAGCAACAGTGATTGGGGCCTCTGGGCGCTCGTGGCAGAGCCCCCCCCACATAACAGCGTAGTGGGGGGCAGCGGTTAGGGTTAGGATCACCCCCCCCTTGCCTGGCACCCACCCAGCAGCTGCCCCATGATGCGGGTGCAGCTTGGCTTGGCGGGGCGCCATGCGCTGCATGGGAGCTGGGGCCACTGGGGCTGAGCAGTGCCAGGCTCCAGCTGGCAAGTGGAGCTGCCCCAGCTTTGGGATAGCGTGCAGTGCCCTGCCAAGCCACACTGCACCCACACCACGAGGCAGTTGCCACATGGGTGCTAGGTGGGGTGAGGCATGATCCCTGCTGCCCTGCATTGCATGGTGGGGCTCTGCCACGTCTGCCCAAAGCCCCCAATTGCCATTGTTGCAGCCAGTGAGTGCGGCGTTTTTGGGGGGGGTGTTTTTGTTTAAAGCTCTGCACTTACAGGCTTTGGCAGTGGTGACTGGGGCCTTTGGGGGCTTGTGGCAGCCAGCTCCCAGACAGAGCACAGCACCCTGCTGAGCCACGCTGCACCCGTGCGATGTGACAGCTGCTGCAAGGGTGCCAAGTGGGGGATGTGATCCCCACTGTCCCCCAATGCATGGTGGGGCTCTGCCACAAGCCCTTAGAGGCCTTGAGGGCCGCTACTACAGCCAGTGAGTATGGGGCTTTTTTTTCCTCCCCCCGAAGTGCCAGGAGGCTGGGGCTGGATGGAGGATGGGGCTGGGTAGGGCAGCCATGGGGGCTTCTCCTATGGCTTCTCTGGCTGTGCTTGCCTCTGCCCTGGCGAAGGGGGCCATGGGGGCTTATGCCCTGCTGCCACTTGCCCCGCTGGTGTGGAGTGGGGTGTGTCTGTGTGATGCAGGCGTGGCTCACTTCAGGCAGCACGGCATAGACCCCGCTCCCAGTGCTGTCGCACCAGCATTAGTGCTGGGAGCAGGGGCTCTGCCCTGCTGCCACCTGCCGCCGGGGGTGCGGGATGCAGGCGCGGCAGTGCTGGGAGAGAGGGCTATGCCCTGCTACCACCTGCCCCCTTTCACCTGGAGTGAACCGTGCCCACATCCCGCCCTCCCTCTCCAGCTGGGCAAGCAGCAGAGCCCCTGCTCCCAGTGCTGCCGCACCCACATCCCGTGCCCCTTTGCCCCCCTCCCCAAGTAATGCGGCCCCCCCCCCCCCGGCTTTAGTTTATGGCTTTGTCTCTGAAGTCGTTGAATCTTTTCCAAAGCTTTTCCTAATCAATCTGGATGCTTTGAATCAATTTGGAGCTTTTAATTGGTCTCCCGATTTGATTCAGATTCCGATATTCGGTCCCTGAATCGGGCCAAATCTCCTCCAAATTGAATCAGCTACTGAAGCTTCGCACAGGTCTACTGGACATGCAAATGGCCACCAAGCAACCTGGAGAGCAGCTGCCACAGGTCGGGGGGGGAGGGGGAGAGGGAGAAGAGAGGATTCAGGCCCCCATTGAGAGAGAAGGAGGGAGGGAGGGAGTTGGGCAGGGCTGGGGCTGGGACTGCTACCTAACTAGGCAGTGCATGGGGCTTGGGGCCTGGGGCTGGAATGGATGGCCAAAGGGCCCCAGTGGGGAGCGGGACAGGGATGTGGGTGGCTTGTCCAGGGGGTGGGGGTCCAGCTCCCCACCGCTGCGTGCACTCCTAAGAGGGCAGGGGGGACCTGTGTATGGAGCAGAGGCTCCCCCTCTGCAGCTCAGTGGGTGGGACCTGGTACAGAAGGGCAAAGTGGGGCCAGGCAGGGAAGCTCCTTGCCCTGAATCGCCCAGCCAAGCCAACCCCTCAGCACCTAGCAGCAGCAGTGCAGGCTTGTGCCCCTTGCTGCTGCTGGGCAAGCAGGGAACACATTGCAGAGGGCTTGCAGCAGCAAGGAGCTTCCTTGCCCAGCTCCACCCTGCCCTGCCATGCCAGGTCCTGACTGCAGGGCCAAGAAAGCCCTGGGGGAGGGCAGCAAGGCAGGGAGCTCAATCCTGCAGCAGGCAGTCTGTCCTGACCCCCCACACAGATCTAGCGGGCACGGATACCCCTGCCTCCCTGCCCAAGCCTGCAGCAGGCAGTCTGCCCCTGCCCCCATGGGTTCCACTCCAGCCATGCCACCCACAGGGGAAGGGGAAGCCAGGCTCTGTGCTCTGCTCCACGGCAGGAGTGGCCTCCCGCTAGCAGATGCTGGGGCTCGGGTGCTGCGGACCTGGGTTCCTGGCCCCATAGCCCTAGCAGCTGGAGGCTCCTCTCCAGCAGGGCTGGGGCGAGGGGGAGAGGGCTGTGGGTGGGGGGTGAGGGGCAAGGGGCACCAGCAGGGCCAGGGCCTGTTGTGGGGTGGGGTGGAGTGGGGAGGGAAGAGTGAGGGGTCTGGCCTGCAGTCTGTCAGCTAAGGGGCAGGGTGAGCTCTGGTTTTCCATGATAAAAAACCCAAAATCAAATACCAAAATGTAGAGGTATCTAGAATTTATTTTATTATAGTGAGTGAGGCACTGGTAGGCTTCTAAACTGCTTTAAAATTGTAAATATATCAGTGAAACATCATATTCAATTGATATCTATCTATCGTGGCGTTTCATTTTAACTGCGGATTTTTGGGTATTCATCAGATAATTTGCATTTTTATCAGAGAATTTGCCATTTTAATTAGAGAAAAATAGGATCTCTGCTCATCAAATAATCTGATCTAAAGCAGTAATAGTTACCCACTTAAGGCAAAAGCATTATGTGCAATGAGCATCTCTCAACAACTAATCTTGCAATATGACTCCATTCTGACAGCACTAACTCCTTCAGAAATCACATTGTGGCTTTTCTTAATTTCTCTGTTAATGGCACAGTAATTGCTGTGAAGAGATACTGCCTTCACAACATGCTTTAGCTAAGAGAGAGGTTACTTGACAAAAGTATTACTTAACAAAAAAATGTGTCTTGCTGAACTGGTGTCAGCTAAAAATCTGTGTTTTATTATAATTACGACTAGGAAAAATTAAATTGCATTCCAATGACATAATCAGAGTCTTAAAGATTTGCACGTGAAATCAATATGCCACCAACTTCACTTGGTCCTGAGTCAGCAAGGTGCCCAGGTTTAGCTGTAAAGCATGTGAGAGCTCACACATTTTAAGGGTATCAGCGAACTGAACCCTACTGAGATCATCATATCCTGTTACAAACATCACTCCATGGAGCATGTTTCATGATTCTATATCCAGACATTATTAGCATTTTCTGTGAATCAAAACTGAAGTAGCTCTTTAATATGCTCACACTACTACATTCATAGAAACCCAAATCTTGACATGTTAAAGGCTGTCTAGAAGGCAAAGTCTATGGTTTTAATGACTGCTACTTGCTATATTGGGAACTTCAAACACATTTCTCATATGTGTAGTGAAGGGGGACAGGGGAAGGGGTAGGAGTGGGGGAAGATTCCTCTCCAATAGTCGCTTCTTGCCATCATTTTTCCTTTAATGACTAAGTATGCTAAGCTCTCTGGCAGGAAGTTTTACTTTGTGACACACCTGAAACAAAAATTGAAGACAACCAAGATATGATATGCTCCTACCCTCTGCAGGTGGTGATGCAAATGTAACAGTTACTGTCTCCGTGAATATATTCCCACTGTCTGTGGTCCACTGCAGCTGAAAGGAGAAAAAAAAGTTAGTCGTCTAAAATGGGAAAAGCACCTGAATATTCTCTATGATACTGGAAAGGTTCAAACCATAATGAAAACTAACAGCCAAAATATTACCTTCTTATTTCCTTATACTGTGTATTTTCTGAAGTCTTGGGTAATTTTTCAATTTCTTAAAGATAAAGTGCCATGTTTCAAAAGGATTTAAAACACTCTGTAACTGGTAGGTTAAACTGCCACAGGTTGTGGGTAGACTTTAAAACTGAAAATTAAACATATAAAAACAAACGATCTGAAAATAAGGTTTTTTTTATTTACAGGATAGGACTTGAATTCAAGATTCTGTTTGTATCTTGCAAAAGCAGAAAATATCACAAATGCCTATAAAAGAATAAAATAATTCTTCAGTGTGCCCTCTTTATATACTTATGTCATTGCAGGAGAAACAGAGCCATGAATTCAGGTCTGGGCAAGTTAGAACAAAAAGAGAAAAAAACCCTAAAATTTACTTATAAAATGTATTAATAAATTAAGCTTTGAAATGTAATTAGACATTTTTATTTAAAAGAAACCCTAATACATCAACTGACTTCTAAATAGTGTGACTGAAGTTCCGTTAGAGCAGTGACATACAAATCAGAGGTTGTTAAAAACCTCATTTAAGCCCTGCATACAACTTTCTGGGTTCAGAGTCATATACTGCTTTCTCATCCAATTACTGCAATCTCCTTGTCTCACTTCCTTTAAACTCATCCCAAATGCAATAGCCAGTATTTTCATCCTTCCTCACTACTTACACCAAGTCATTCCGCTCTTCAAACACCTTTACAAATAGATTTACTTGCTCCCCAAGTCAAACTATCTGTTATAACATTAAATTTCATTCCCTTCACTCCATTGATGCAAGTCCCTTTCTTCCCTCATGCCTTCTTCCAAGCCATCCAATATACATCAGACCTCTTATTCCCCAATGCACATACCCTTATTCAGATCTTGGCTGAAATCCTCCTCCTCTTATGAAGCGTAAAAGTAACACACATCAACATAACATTCTCTCTCACCTCCCATTTTCTCTCTCCCACATACACACACTTTCTGTCTCTCATGTATTGCTGCCCTCTCACTCTCCTGATATTCTGTCTGGTCCATTTAGGCTGCTGACAGACATGGCAAAAAACCCAAAACAAATGCACTTTACCAGAAGCACTGCATTAGTTTGACCCTTGTAGGGAACGAATTAGAAAGGCTAAGGTGGTGACTGAACTAAAATGAGCAACGGGAATGAAGGACAACAAGAAGTCCTTCTTTAGGTACATAGGGAACTGGAGGATAAGAAATGGGAGTGTGGGGCCATTGCTCAACAATTCAGGACAGCTGGTTACCAGCACTCAGGAGAAAACTGAATTCCTGAATGACTACTTTGCTTCGGTCTTTCACCAAGCCAAGGGGAAAATCATGCCAGATAGACTACAGAATGAGGTCAGGAATGACTGCCTTCCTACTATTGCCATAGAACTGGTGTGTGATCAATTAAAGAAATTAGACATACAAGTCAGCAGGATTGGATGAACTTCATCCAAGAGTGCTGAAGGAGCTGGCCGAAATCATCGTGGAGCCCCTGGCAAAACTCTTCCAAAAACTCGTGGCACTCCAGAGAGGTCCCTGAGGACTGGGACCAATGTTGTGCTCATCCTTCAAGAAGGGGAGGAGGGGGGACCCAGGTAACTATAGGCCAATTAGCCTAACTTCTATCCCAGGGAAAATCCTGAAAAAATTCATTAAGGAATCTGTGCGCGATAGGCTTGCAGAAGGTAGGATTCTGAATGACAGCCAGGATGGCTTCATCACGGGCAGGTTTTGTCTTACCAACCTCACCTCCTTTTATGATCAGATAACTTGCCACCTGGATAAGAGAGAAGAGGTTGACATTGTATACTTGATTTCCATAAAGCCTTTGACCTGGTATCCCATGATGTCCTCAGAAGAATATTGGAGGATTGTGGGCTTAACTGTGAGACAGTTAGGTGGGTATGAAGCTGGCTGCGGGGTAGGACCCAGAGAGTTCTAATGAACTGATCTGTGTCATCCTGGCAAGAAGTGGCCAGAGGTGTCCCATGGGGGTCGGTGCTTGGTCCGGTACTTCTCAACATCTTTATCAATGATTGGGATGTGGGGGTGAAGAGCTCACTGGCCAAGTTCGCAGACAACACCAAATTATGGGGAAGTGTGGTCACACTTGAAGATAGGCTACAGATACAGGTGGATCTAGACAGGCTAGCAAGTTGGGCTGATCAGAACCAGATGAAGTTCAATGTTGAGAAATGTAAAGTGCTCCACCTGGGGAGGAACAACTCCCTAAACACCTACAGGCCTGGTGGTGCCGAACTGACACACCACAAATGAAAGAGACCTGGGAGTAATAATAGATCACAGTATGAATATGAGCCGGCAGTGCGATGTTGTAACTGGCAGGGCAAATAACACTGTAGCATGCATCAATCGACGCATCTCCAGCAAAACCAAGGAAGTGATTCTTCCACTCTACTCAGCATTGGTGAGACCCCAGCTGGAGTACTACGTCCAATTCTAGGCACCGCACTTTAACAAGGACGTGGTGAAGCTTAAGAGAGTCCAGAGAAGGGTCACCCATATGATCAGAGACTTGCACAGCAAGCCATATGAGGAAAGGCTGAGGTACCTGGGACTCTTCAGCCTGGAAAAGAGAAGACTGAGAGGGGACTTGGTAGCAGCTTAATGCTATATCAGGGGAATACATCAAGGGCTTGTTGAACAACTGTTCACCAGGGCACCCTTGGGGAAAACCAGGAGTAATGGCCACAAACTCCTGGAAGATTTTTTCAGGCTCAACATTAGGAAAACCTTCTTTACAGTTAGAGTGTCTAGATTGTGGAATAAGCTCCCTCCAGAGGTGGTGCAATCACTTACCCTGGAAATCTTCAAGAGGAGACTATCTTTCCTGACTGGTGCAGGGGGTTGGACCTGATGATCTTCTGAAGTCCCTTCCAGCCTTACAATCTATGAATCTATGACCCAGCTCCATAGCATCTGTATAAATCGTGCACTTCGGCAGGGGGGTTTTGGTGCTTTTACCTAAAGCCGATTCAATCAGCTATTAGATAAAAGCATCAAAAAACTCCCACTGAAGCGCCCGATCTATACAGACGTTGGGCAAGCTGGTTCAAACTAACATGATGCCTATTCTGGCCACGTGCTGGGCTCGGCACAGGGGCACATGAAGTTTAAAGTAGAGTGCTGTTTTTTGGGGGCTTTTTATATCTGTAAGCAGCCTTAATGTTAACCACCATACTAGGTATTGAAGATGCATCTATTCACTATGACCAGAAGTGCTGTGAAGCTGGAGGATATACCCTGGTTATCATGGCAGCATATATTAAGCAATACAAAATCTTCACCATACTACATTCTGGCAGAAATGGGTTTACATCCTGGGAATTTCCTCATAGCCAATACAAACTTTGCCTTTCAAACTAGAGAAATTACTGTCATTGTGTGTTCTAAATGACCCCACAGAAAATTAATGGACAATATACATTACAGTTACTGCACAATTTTAAATATTTATTTTGTATTCACTTTTAGGTATGCTAAGTGCTAAGTACTATTTACTAGTATAGTCCTTTACCTGTTCAAAACACTACATAGGCATTAACTATCTCACATGAAGTAGGAAGGTACATTTCATCCCTCTTTTCCAGAGGAAAAGCAAGAAATGACTTCAAGGCACTCAAGATGACAGGGCAAGAATTACAACCTCCCAATGCTATGATCATTCTTCCCGAAGACACAGCCTTCATTTCATGACGTCATTATATGCGACTATTGCACAAACTGTCAGTTGATGAGATAAATATAGCTATCAAAGGCCTAAAGATCCTTACTCAGATATCATTTATTACTCCCCAGGCAAAGTGTCCTTTGAAAATGTTATTATTAGGAATACAACAGTCAGCAGAAACTTTTAGATGAATCCTGAAATCCTTCAACCAAAGTTAGAAAAAAAAAGAAAAGAGGGATAGAAGTGAGTATAGCACCAATAGTACCGTTGCTGGGATGCTTTCAGAGTTATACACCATCTCCCCATTTCTCAGGGACTTCTGCACCTCATGGATGTGGTTCTTGATGTCATTCACAGTGGGGAAAAAAGACAGGTTATGCCTCTCTGGCACTTCATCCGGTTTGAAAAGCTCTCGTTCCACATATTTTCTGTCGTGTGTTAGAAAATGGAGGATGGCAAAGGGAAGCAATTAAAAAAATATTTGTGTATTAGCAGATTTTACTTCCCCACACCCTCCCAACAGTCTTCTCCTCTTTCCACAAATATGATCCGAACAAGTTACTGTATTTTCTCAAATCCAAGACAAGGATTTTTCCCCATTCAATATGGATGGGAGTGGGGAACCTCATCTTGGATTTGATGTACTGGCCTGGGCTCACAGCTGCTGCAGCTCTGGCTACAGCCCCAACTTGGACCCAGGGTCAGAGCTAGAGCTGCTGCTGTCATGGCTGCATGACTAGGGCTAGAGTAGCTGCCTGCCCAGACCTGAAGCCACTGTGTGCCTGGAGCCAGAACCAGAGCCAGAACTGTTGTACACAGTAAGCAGCAGGGGGCAGAAAGATGTAGGGGTCAGGCTTCCTGTCCCCTTCATCACTTGCCACCCCACTGCCTGCATCCTCCTCCCCCTGCTTTAGCAGTGGGAGGGCGGGGTAAATTTAAGACCTCCCTCCAATAATTTATTAAATTCTATATAGAAAACTTTATAAATGTGTTATTTTTCTATATGTAAAGAATCTAACTTTTGGGGGGCAGGGGTCATCTTAAATTCAAAGTTGTCTTGGATTTAGGTAAATATGGTAATATAGTTCACAGCATGACTCCCTTTGCATCTAATCTCATGACCTAAAATTTTTAGGGAGCTATTTTAGCAAAACTCGGAGTTTCAATACTTGGAAGAGCAGCCTTAAGCAATTATATATAATGAGGCAAGAGAAGACAACACACCTGATATTAACATGTAAGGGTAAAGGTTCAGTTAAAACAAATGCTAATATCATTTGTGGAGAAAAAAAAGTCAGCCTTGCCCTACTGCTGCAAGGCAAATTAATGCAATGGTTGATATAGCACTATAGAAAGAAGCTAACTGACAGAGTAGATTATGCTATACCTTAGTTGTTTCCTCACAGCATACACTTGTTCTGTTCCCTGAGATACCAGTTCTCGGATTTTATCTGCTACTTGCGGATGAAGTCGAGAGGGCAAAGCACAGTTCTCATCTCTCAGTCCATCTTCCTCTTCCTCAGGAGAAGATATGGGGAAATGGGAGGGTGAAAGAGGAAGGCAGGAGGGCTCCATTTCATGGTACTGGTGCGCTTGCTGGGTGGGTAACTGCACATACCACCTGACGAGAGAGAGAGAGTTTCCAGGTCCAATTCCCAAGTAGAGACAGCAAAACAAGACTATTTAAATTCTTTTCCAGGTTTTGGAACAAAATCTAGTGAATGAGGACCTCATCATTAAGGCTACCAACAGGATTTGAGGTATGTGCACATACACCTCTACTATGTCCGAAACACTCTCACCCCAGTAGCATTAATTGTGGGCATTGATGCTGCTCTTTCCAGACAGCTGATTTTCCACAGTTAAGACTTCAAAAGGTCACAGAGAGCATGGTAGAGCTGCACACCACAGCTCAGGGGCAAGGTGCATGCACACAAAGATGATTTTACTTCACTACTGTGCTCGTCCTTTCCCTCCCCTACAATCTAAAGGAAAAGCAACTGCTTTAAGGTTATTCTGCTGAAGGACTCTCTCCACCCACTTCTCTGCCAATATCTGGAGTGAACCTCCAGTGACCAACTGCATTTAAAGCATAAGGCCATTCTAGCAATAGTCAGCATGAGTCTCTGTTAAACACCCAAGCTGCACCCATTTCTGCCTTTTTATCATGAAATATTTTTGCATTAATCCCACAACATAACATCTTCCACACTAAACAAGAATACTGAAAGCATCTTTCTGCTTTTAACAAAAAATTTTAAATTAAGTGTCTTGTGGGATGGTGATAGAGAAGGGGAGAGGAAACCGCCCCCACACAAGCAATACATTTGTTTATCATTAATTTGTCAAGATAATTAAATAGATGGAAATTTCACCTGAGAACCCCTCCTGCATCCATCAAATTCTTCTTCAGCATGTTGAATGCTTTCTCTTGCTCCACTCGTATGATTTTCTTGTCAATTTTGGGGTCAGTAGGAACTCTGTACTCAGGAAACTTTTGAACCTTTTTAATATAGATTCTTCCAGGGAATAAAACAGACCAGAAAACACCTGGTTTCATTATACTTTTCTTCAGGAGGAGACAGAAACACCAGCTATTTTATTTCAGATTATAAAATTTATTGCAGAGAAGCTCTAGAGAAACCCCAGAAGCACACACAAAGGTTTGTTCGCAAGATAGTAAGTGAACTGGAAGACTGAAGAACCAAAGCACAGAAAATTAATAGCAGAAAGTTCACAGAGAAGGAGGAAGAGAAGGATGGAGACTGGAGGATGTTATTGGAGTTAGATAAGAAGAAGTGCTTTGGTACATTTGGATTCCATATGTAGGTTAGACAGAGATTTCTCCAATAAATCTGGGTCACTGCCATACTGCATCTATCCCATCATTTTGATCAATTACTGGCTGCAAATCAGTCTGCATAGCTTCTGGATATATCAGTCCACAGGGTAATATAAAACACCATAAATTCATATGAAACTTTCATTTTAAAAAACTGCACATGTCATTAATTGATAACCCTGGTAACTTAGGAGGTTTCCCGCCCCCCTTTCACCTAAAGTTCCCCAACCACCAACTTCACAATAAACAGTTTGACACTATGATCCATTGTCAATGTTAATTTGAAAAAAATATATTCTTCCAAATTACTAGAGGCAAAAACAAACAGGTCAACCAAAATCTATAAGGCTTTTTTGCCCCTTTTAGAAAATTGAAATAAATTGAAATAACTGTTACCCAGCTTATATACTGCCAAAATGAAGACCAGAATAAATGCCAATAGTGTTGTTATAACCTACATATATAATGATTTAAGAGCCTGTAAGGCAGGGGTGAGCAAAATAGAGGATCCAGCCGGCAGCCGGACTCCATTTCCCAGCAGTCCCTGCCTGAATTGCTGTGGGCGGTTTCCATGGAGACCCCACAAACAGCAGAGTGGTCACAGTGGGGGGGGCCAGGGTTTCCATGGAGACTAGCTCCAGCAGCTCTGGCAGTGAGCACGGCTGGAGGGGCCCAGTCCGGTCTGTGGGCTGGACTTATAAGGTATACCGGAATTCCTAGCAAGTGGGACCCAAAATAGAAGATTTAAGAAACCCATCAATTTTAACAACGTCCACTCAGAAAATTATTCATCCTTCTTCTGAACATACATTTAACATAGAGACTGGTACTAAGACCAAGACTGGTATATTAGGGTATCTTGTCATATTTTAAGCTTTAAAGTTGCACCTGTTTATAGAGTGGCGAAATATAGTACTGTTTAATGTTTCCTTTATATCCAGCCTAAAGTTCTGTATAGCCTCATTGTTATCTGAACTTTTCATTTTGCTGGTGCTGGCAATATCAGCTGGCCTTGTTTCTTGCAAGCAGCTTACTGCTTTAAGTTTGCTCGCATGGCATGATGTTTCTTTCCTTTTTCTATCACTGTGAGAAGTTTTTCTAACACAACATAGTAATAGTTTTGTTACTAGCTCAAATTAACTGAACTTGGCACTAACCAGCTGAATCAGAGGGATGAAATGATTGGATATGTTAATGAAGGTGATAAAGGAGACCAATGGACAATGCTTAAAAGTAAGACACTGGAAAAAGGCTAAATTAAGAGCTGTGCTTGTAATGGGTCTGTTGAATAAAGGAACATGGTGACAGGATAAAATATGCTGACTGCAGAGAGACCAATCCAAAAGTGAGGAGTCAAAGGAGTTAAGTTTAAAGAAAAGCATAAAAGGGGGAGCAAGAAAGTTAAGCATGTGTTGTTGTTATCATCATTTGCATTATGAATCCAACTTTCAACACCTGTCTGGATTGTCCCAGCCAACAACACACCCTTTGCTTCAGGAACTGAGCGGCCATCTTTTCTATGAAGCAAAGTAACATCTGGGATGGGGTGAGATCATTGTACTAAGTGTTTTTCTCTCTCTGAATATAGAAACTGCTAAGATAATACTTGTTTTACTAATAAAGTTAGACTTTGATTTTAGGACGCTTGAGTTGTCTGTGTTCATATTTCATGTTCTATTTAAGGGTTAATTGTGCTTTAATGATCCCTACGCACTATCTGGTGGACAATGGTGTGAACAGGTACCAGGACCAAGACAAATGTCATTCTAATAGCATACAGTTATCAGTCATATTTCTCAAGAAACAAGCTCTTGTAGCACTGGCAGCGTCTTCAGATGAGAGCCTTGGTTGGGTTTTTTTTTCAATTTTTTTGCTAATGCTTACCGCGCTGGACAAGTGGCTTTGTACAGATGGCCTGAGGAATGTTCCTGCTCGCCAGCTTTTCGGGGCTGGAAACCTTTCCTCCTTGGCCCATACTGGCACTCCATCACAATGGCTCTACTTCCTGTGGATAGAAATTAACTGGCTCAACTATAAATTCAAGCATCCAACAATTCCATAAACTCTATTAAAAAAATTCTGAAGGAAAAAAATTTGAAACACTTTATTTAAATTATTTTCACATACTTTGAGGACTAGTGTGTTCAGGGTAGTAAATACCCGAGTTACCGAGTACCAGCCTTTCTGAAAATGAAACTTGGCACTTACAGAGAGCACTGTACATTGTTCATAGCATTTTCCAAAATAATTATTCCTCAGAGTACTTCTATCAGGTAGGAAACTAAAATATTGCAACAATCATTTTACAGGGAGGATAAAGGCCATATTTTGACACCTTTACTCCTATTAGCATCCTTACTTTACATAATGATTCATTTTCTGAGCTAGTCACAGAATAAGATGCTGATAAGCATGAATAAGGGTAGCAGGATCTTCCCTGAATTATAGGATCTGCCCTAAATTACACAGCAAATCAATTGTGAGAAAAAAAAAAAATCTGAACCTGAATGCTCCTGGCCTCCCGTTCAAAGTTCTGTTCTTTTGACCACATTTGATCAATCTCTTACGTTAACCAATGTGACATGAATATAGAACCCCTAAAAGCATTACAAAACAGAACTTAATTTAGCTGTAAACTTCACTGAAAAAACGTCATTCTTTTATTCAGACATCTGATCAAGTGGAGTGAAATGCTGGCTATAGTTTGGCAGAGCATAGCTAAGAAGGGAAATTATTTATACTGAACACTTAAGTTTAGTCCCTAGCACTTCTTTTCCCACAATCAAACTACCCTTGAACTTTTCTTTTTATATGCCACTTCCTAGCTTGTGAAACAGCTAGCACTTTCAATGCATCATACTGTTGAGACAAATGGTTCTACATGAATGATAATCCCTTGTACAAGCATGTACCATTAAAAAAAAAATCAAAAAAAAAATCAATGCACATAAAACCAGAGACTAATTCAGAAATAGTTTAATGTACTTTGGTTTAATGAACAAAACCCTCAGAAAACAAGTTTTGGCTCATGTAACTTATGAGGAATAATTTTTGGTAGTATCAAAACTGTCCCTATTTACAGGCATTGCAAAAAATTGGCAGGACCTCAATTTTACAAAGGTATAGCATGTCTGAAATCTTAGTAAAGTCAGGATCTCGATGATCAGAACATCCTATTTTACAATACATGAAGCTAGCTAGCTTTCTCAAGGCTACCTGCTTCAACAGAAAGAGAGGCAAACAAGGTAACACAAAAACTCCACTTACGTAGAGGTTACAAGCTATTGAAGAATGGTACTTCAAACCTGAACAGCTCAGGATCTCTGGAAGCCTGAAACTGTACCTCAGTAAAGCCTCTGGCAAGTATAACTCTGGAATAGTGTCACTGACCTTCAGTTATTTAGGAATTTCAGATAACTACAATTCAGTAAATCAGCCACTCTTGGTAACTGACAGCCTCTGCTCTAAAGATTTTAATAGTGGGAATGTTGCAGGCTAGAAATAAAATGTGTTAGTGGAGTAGTATGTAGGACAGGGACGGGCAAAATGCAGCCTCGGGGCCGGATGTGGCCCACCAGGTCATTCTATCCAGCCCATGGGGCCCCTAAAAAATTTAGAAAATTAATACTAATCTGCACTGGGCTGACCATCATGCGGCCCTCGATGGCTTGCTGAAACTCAGTAAGCGGCCCTCTGCCCAAAATAATTGCCCGCCCTTGATGTAGAGACATTACATAATCCCTCCTTGCTCTAAGTCTGACCAGGCAAGCATTATATATTAGGGATGTGTGAAGCTTCAGTTGCTGGTTCAAATCGGAGTAGATACGGCTGAATTCGGTGGCTGAATCTCTGAATCGAATCAGGAGACCCATTAATCTCTTCAAATTGAATCAGAAGCCTCCAAATCGGTTCACAGAGATTTGACGATTTGGCCAAAGACACAGCTTTATATGGGTTTTTTTTATGTACTTCAAGATACCAGGTGCAGCTCATGAATGCTGAGCTGGGGCGGATGGAGTGTCACAGGGAGCACAGGGGGCTCCCCCGCATGCTTGGCAGCACTTCTGGGTCCATCGCCAAGCATGATGGGGACTGCCCTGCCCCCCAGCTCGGTGATTGGCTGTGGGGGGACCCCACGTGTTCTCCCAGACCCAGGAGGCACCAATTGCTGAGCCACCACAGTCAACTGCTGAGCCAGAGTGGCGGGGGGGAGAGGGGGATGCCACGCACTGGGTGGCAGACCCAGAAGTGGACTGGAAGTACTTCTAGTCTACTTCCAGGTCCGCCGCAGAGTCCGTGGGGGACCCCTCCCATGCTCCCATAGGACGCTTCATCCACCCCAACATGTCTGTGTCCAGGAGCTGTGCCTGGTACCTCAAGGTATATGGAAAAAACATATAAAGCTGTGTCTATGGCCAAATCGCTGATTCAGAGAATCAGCATCGAATCAGGACAGTGATCTGAATCAGCTAATCAAATCACAGCTGTCCGAATCCAAATCCAAATCAAATACTGCCCGCTTTGCACACCCCTATTATATATCCCCTCTGATTCAAAGCCAACCTACATTTTTTTGAACAAAGAAACAAAGTGATGAATTTAGCATGTTCCAACTCTAACCTTCTCATTTTGGGGAGGGAAGGAATTACTCTTTAGAGTGATCTTGTAAGTACCCCAAAACATCTGGCACATCTCTTGGAAAAAAGGCTTGTTTTTCTGTATTTGTCCTTTCTAGTCTTGTTTCACTTTATAGTTGGAAGGCTTATATTTTAATTCAAGTGACAATTTTTTCCAATTACTTTCAGTACATACACAACCTGGACCCAACCAGACACAATAATCACATCAAGTTACAATTGAGGGTTGATTAGTATGATCACATCTAAATGCTCACTCATTCTATCATATAATACCTGCTCCATAAATTAAAAAGTATGAAATTACTAAAAAATATATTTAAAGGCGATTTAAAATATTTTACAGGTTCTTGCTGTCCAAGGTTTTCAGTAAGCTGTCAAAACTGCATGACTGCTGGAACTGCCTTCTGAGAACTGCAATCTCCAAGCAGAGCAAACAAAGCCTTCTTTTTAAAAGTCTCATTTGAAAAAAAGACTCCTGCCCCAGTGCTTAGTTAATCTACTTCTAATAAAATCAAGAGACTCAAATATTTACATTACAATATGAATCTGTGGTTCCAGGGAACCCATATGCATCAAATTTGAGGTTCAACTCGCTAAGGCAACTTTTTCCATGTTTGTGACTTGACTTTACCAATACCTAGAAATATTCTGCCAGAATACTGAGATACAGTCTCAGGTGGGTTCTTTTTAATGGCCAAAATGTTTACAGATGTTGAAACTTTGAAAACCAGTTATTAAAGAAATGTAATTACCTGCATTGACAAAAGGGATCCCATCATATGGGACATACTGAGATTTCCACATCAACCGTGTGGCAGGTTTGGCTGGGCTTGGAGACTGGCGTGTCCCCCACACACTTTGTGTTTGCTGCTTGTGTAGCGTTAGAACACTCTCTAATTCTGTCTCGCTCACACAATAGCCACGGTACGAGTCCCCAATTTTCTGCATGGAAAGGAGGTGAAATAATAGGATTATTCACCAATCCGACTGCTATTCAGTATACCAAAAAAAAAACAAAAAAAAAAAAAACGCAGTCAAAGATTCTGGATGCAAGCAGGTGAAGGTACTACCTAAAATGTTTGGGTGGTTTTTTCACTGGCTTTTGTACTGGTTGCATCCCAGCCATATTTGCCAAAGAATGAGCACCTGTCTTTGTTGAGTTGATAACATCACTGGCCTGAGACACTAGGTGAAGTACTGCAAATGTCTCAGCAGTGGTTAAAATTGCCACACTACTATCTGTAGTATAACTCCCATTTTCTGAAGGGTCTGGAGATCTCTGAAACCTTTTAAGCACATACTAAGTTTTGGGCAAAAGAGAACAAGACATGCAACAAAGACTGAACTTCCTACTAAACAGTGGTTGTATAAGCACCAAGACAGAATCAAGTTAATTCTTTCAGCCTGGATTTCTCTCCAATTCCTGTTTTTCTAGTATAATTAATACTTATTACTAGTCAATTAATATTAGAAAAGTTGTTTTTGGTGAGTTACTGGCTATATTATGAAGGAGAACATATCAAGCATTTTATTCCTTGAAGATTGCAGTCACAGCCATGCATTCACAGAATCTTGTATCATATTATCATCATCATCATATGATCACAGGCATCAAACAGGATTTGCAGAGCTACCCTAGCTGGCTGACCAGGCTATCAGTGGGTTATTGGAAGCTGGGGGGGGGGGGGGGGGGGGGGCAACCCACAGGGGGGGGGGGAAAGGGCTCCCACCAAATTCAGGCCCCTTGGACCCCGCTGGCCATGGCCATCACCAGTGCCTCTGCAATCTTCCTCAAGACCCACTGCCACCACCAGGCCCCTGCACCCAAGCACCTCATTGCCTCTAGACCCACTGCACTTGCATCCCTCGCTGCTGCCGCCGCCGCCAGACCCACCACCAATGCTGTGGTGGCCCTGGCAGCTGCCTGGGTGCCCCATGTTAGATCCTGCTGATAAGAAGTCCTGCAGTCCAAGGCACCAGGTGAGTTTGACACCCCTAAGGGAGTCAAACTGTTCAGCCCCACTTCCCCCTGCCCCAATGGACTCAGTGCTAAAACTGCCTCATTCCCCACCTGTTGGGGATTTTTTTGGTTTTCTGCAAAGTACAATAATTCAGAATGGGCCACAAGATCACGAAGTGCAGGAGCAGGCAAAGTCCAGCCCACGGGCCAGATCCAGCCACTCGGGGCCAGGGTTTCCATGGAGGCTGGCCCCAGCAGCACTGGCAGGCAGCAGTGGTGCCAGCCTCTTCCTGGTGGGGGGGCTGTGCTGTGGGCTGGAATGGAACGGGGCAGGCTCAGCTGCCGCTGCCTATGCCCGGTGGGCAAGGCAATGATGCCACTGGAAGGGTGGCTACAGGGGGCTATAGCACCCACAAGCCTCCCCCTAGTTCTGCCCCTGCTCTGGAGCCCAGCTGGGATCTTGCAGTGGTGACAGCTTGATTCAGAGCAAGGGCAGAGCCATGATCTGTATCCTGCATGCTCTGGCCAGGGGCATGCAGGCTGCAAATCATAGCTCTGCCCCAGCTCTAGACCATGTTGTCACTGCTGCAAGATCCTAGCTGGGCTCTGGAGCAGTTCTGCACCCTGCCATACCTCCTACCAGCGCTGCTGGAGTCAGTCTCCACAGAAACCCCAGCCTTGTGATATCACAGTGCGGCTGCTGCTGGGATCTCCACAGAAACTGGCCCCAGCAATGTGGGCAGGGGCTGCTGGGAAATGGAATCTGACTCCTGACTTGTTCCACTATTTTGCCTACGCCTGGTATAGTGCAACACTCCACCTAGCAATCAAACTTTTGAAGAGAGGCGATCATTTGAGTCTATATCCCAAAAGACCTACCAATTAAGAGATGAGAAAGCATCAGAAGAGAGAAGCAGGGAACAAGTGCTATCTAGCACAAAGTGAACAACAAGGGTATCTATCAGTTCTCTGCAAACTGTTCTGGAGCGGACACAAAAAGAAAGAAAAGGAATTTGTAGAGTCAAACTCAACCCCATGGACAGAACTGCACTGAAGACAATGGAGTTGTGCAAAACTACAACAAGTTAGGTTAGTCCAACAAACATACCACTAACATTTAGAGAGTGCTCATTCTTGCAAAGGAGGAATAAATAGTCTTTATAATCTGTAGAGCCTCATAAGCATAACACTGAGATCCTTGAAGCCAAGTTTGTGCTAAAAATACATCTGAGATTTCCTGTGGGAAGAGGAAGGCAACTGAAGACAGACACAGATTCTGCTATAAATCTTTACTTATAATTTTTAAGCTTAAATTTAAGAAAATTGCTTTAAATCCGTATGCATGGAAGACAGGAAGAGGGAGCAGGATAGAGAAGATGTGGGAGGCATAATAATTCACTGCCTTTTACAGCCCAAGATACCAAAAGGATAATTTCTTCTTCCCTTCCCCTCCCCTCAATCTGCTCTATATAGGAAGTAAAAAACGAGTCCAAAGCCTAAGAAATCAGAGAAAACATTCACTTTTCTCTAGATATTCTGGGTATTTTAAAATAAAATACAGCTAAAATATAAAAAATCAGTTGCATATAAAGAAAATTATATTAGAATGTTTCCTGCACCAAACATCTGATCAGGAAAATCATGTTTATATCACAGATTGATTTTAAGGACAACACTTAAATAACAGGAATGTGATTTTTTTTTTAAATATTTAATTTTTAAAATTTTGTTTGGCTTCAATCTTTTTAGATTTTTGTTTTTTTTTTTAAATGCTACCTTATGTATTTTAGGTTCTATCATTTTGTACTGTATTAAGAAAAACATTTCCCATTGAATCTGGAAAACCTGGCCCATGCCAGCTATGCGCCTCTATCTCAAGCTGACCACAAAAAAAAAGTTGTATGCATTTTCTAGTGATAGTCTGATTTTATTTCGTAGATTTTATAGACATTAGGGCTGGAAGGGACCTCAAAGATCAAGTCCAGCCCCCTGCCCCAGGGTCAGGAAGTCAGCCAGGTCTCGGGGGCTCGGACAGTAAAGAAATTTTTTCTTATGTCCAGCCTAAAACGGTCTTGGAGGAGTTTATGACTGTTGGCCCTTGTTTTTTTCTTGGGGTGCTCTGGTGAACAGATGTTCTCCCAGGTCCTGATGTACACCCCTTATGTACTTATAAGCAGCCACCAGGTCCCCACTGAGCCTGCACTTTTCCAGACTGAAGAGTCCCATGGCTCTTAGCCTCTCTTCATAAGGCCTATTCTTTTGCCCTCTGATCATGTGCACGGCTTTCCTCTGGACTCTCTCAAGCTTCTCAACATCCTCCTTGAACTGTGGAGCCCAGAATTGGATGCAGTACTCCAGCTGTGGCCTCACCAAAGCCAAGTACAATGGGAGGATGACATCCTGTGATTTACCTGAGAAGCATCTAGATGCAAGCCAGAGTTTTGTTTGCTTTACCAGCTATGACATCGCATTGGTGGCTCATGTTCATCTTGTGGTCAGTCATGACCCCCAAGTCTCTTCCAGCAGTGGTGCTAGTAAGAGTAGCACTGCCGAGCCTATAAGTATGCTGCAGGGTTTTCCCCCCCCAGGTGGAGTATCTTACATTTATCGGTATTGAACTTCATCAGGTTTGTATCTGCCCACTTACTAAGTTTATCCAAGTCAGTCTGGATCACTAGCCTGTCCTCAGGTGTGGATGCTATGCCCCAAAGTTTAGTGTCATCGGCAAACTTAGCCAGTGCGCTTCTGATGCCAATGTCCACATCATTGATAAAGATGTTAAAGAGAACCGGTCCAAGGACAGAGCCTTGGGGGACGCCACTGGTCACAGAGTGCCATAATGATTTGCTACCATTGACCACTACTCCCTGGGTCCAACCTCGGAGCCAATTTCGCAGCCATCAGACTGTGGTGTAGCCGGGGCCACAGTTTGCCAATTTTTTCATGAGGAGGTCATGGGACACCAGATCAAAGGCTTTTTTAAAGCCTTTTTTAAAGCCAGATATATGACATCAATGTCTTCTCTCTTGCCCAGGTGATATGTCACCTGGTCATAGAAGGAGATGAGATTGGTCAGGAAAGACCTACCTGCGACAAACCCATGCTGGCTGTCCCTCAGGATGTTGCCCTCAGCCAGCTTATCCAGAAGGGTCTCCTTGATAATTTTCTCCAGAAGCTTACCAAGGTTGAGGTCAAGCTGATTGGCCTGTAATTCCCGGGATCTATTTTTCGCCCTTCCTTGAAGATGGGTACCACATCGGCCTTTTTCTAGTCTTCAGGTACTTCACCTAAGCACCACGAGTTTTCGAATATTTTTGCCAATGGTTGGGCTATGACACCTGCCAGTGCCCTTGAGTACTCTAGGGTGCAATGTGTCAGGAACAGCTGACTTGAAGGTGTCCAGCCTCTCAAGGTGATCCTTTACTACATCAACACCGATGCTGGGTATAGATACACCCTCACCCTGGCCCTGCCACATCTTGCTAGGCAGGGCGGTCCTACTGGACTGATGAAAGACTGATACGAAGTACCTATTAAGCAGATTGGTCTTTTCCTGGGTGTCAGTTATCAGCTGTCCT